TCTGTGTCGTCTTTTCTTCTGTTATATTTCAAAGCTAATACTTATATTATTTATTCCTGTGATGTTCGAAGTACTCTTCGGTTAATAAAGTGAGAGTGAATTTCACGCCGCACTCAGCAATATTCCAGCTATGTGGCAGCTGTCTGTAAATAATCGAGTCTGGACCAGACAATCCAGTGATCAACAGCATGAGCACCGGCCTACATTAATGGGAAACGATGACATGTGTCAACATGTCAGCGAGCTTGACCAACCGATCCCGTTAGTCGCCTCTTACGACAAGCATGGGTTGCTAAAGACAAATTCTAATCCGGATCTTCACGGGTTAGTTAATAAAGTATTTGCTGTCTTATTTTATCTTATTTTAAATCGTACATCGAGTCAGTGAATGTTTTTTTTTATGAAGCATAATGTAGATATCAGATAGTTTAATAGCAAACTAACAAAACGTGGTGCACACGCGCACGCACCCACACATATATTCTCATGAACACTTTCAGATCGTGATTCTCAGTTTGCACATGCACGGTACACAATAAAATGTGAATGTTTACGTGGGTGTTGGGAACATGATACTCATACACGTGGTTTTTTTTATGTCAACACAACACAATTATTGCTGATAAAAATATTTTGTTTACCCGTAAATAAGGTTTACACAATATCGTTGAAACTCAACGTCCCGCGTACGTAAGTGTCAAGCAAGAAAACGGTTTTAATGATCATCAAACCAAACATCATCTCTTTGGTGACGTCATCATAATTTCCCATGGGCCGGTGATCCACCGATGACGTAATTTCAACAAAACAACCACATTCGGTTGGTGCATCTACAAAATCGGAACAAATCGAAAACCAGTCAGTGGCAGAACCGTACCCATCCGGTTGAGGAAGCATAATAAATAGAGGAATATGTTAGCCGCTTTTGCTTCCACTTCACTGTCAGGCATGTGAGGTTCAGGAAGCAAGACTGGGGTAGTATATTGTTCACAGCCAAGTCCAGGTTTCATCTGGACAACTGGCATGGTCTTGCAATGGTGCCCAAGCATCCAGGATAACGTAACAGCAACACCTGCGTTAGTCAACGTTGTCAGTTTGAGGTCGGATGTTTAATAGTAAGCTTCACATCCAGGATAACGTAACAGCAACACCTGCGTTAGTCAACGTCGTCAGTTTGAGGTCGGATGTGTAATAGTAAGCTTCACATCCAGGATAACGTAACAGCAACACCTGCGTTAGTCAACGTCGTCAGTTTGAGGTCGGATGTGTAATAGTAAGCTTCACAACCAGGATAACGTAACAGCAACACCTGCGTTAGTCAATGTCGTCAGTTTGAGGTCGGATGTGTAATAGTAAGCTTCACATCCAGGATAACGTATTAGCAACACCTGCGTTAACACCTGCGTTAGTCAACGTCGTCAGTTTGAGGTCGGATGTGTAATAGTAAGCTGCACATCCAGGATAACGTAACAGCAACACCTGCGTTAGTCAACGTCGTCAGTTTGAGGTCGGATGTGTAATTGTAAGCTTCACAACCAGGAAAACACTTTTAATGGCAGTTTGAATGGCTTACAATCATGGGACGATATCGCTGTATTAATACTGTTGTACACTATTAAATGCAGGAACTTAATCTAACGATGCCACAGGAAAATGGCCGCCACCATGTCTTTAAGCAGACCATTTGAGGCAGCATAAATCTTGTTATACTGCCGGCTGTTTCTTTAGACCTGGGGTGGTGGGATAGACAAACATTCGCTGGTCATGTCACTGCGATGTGGCTTCCGTTTTGTTCACTCTTTACTTACATGACTTAATGTACCCATATAGAAATCATATATGCTGTATATATGCTCACAGACATTTTAATGAATGTTACATGGGATACATTCGTTTCCAATAGGGGAAGTGGGATAGCCTAGTGACTTAATCCCGGTTTAAATTCCCCACATGGGAACGATGTGTGAAGCCCATTTCTGGTGTCCCCCGCCGTGATATTGTTGAATATTGCTAAAAGCGGCGTAAAACTTAACTCACTCACTACCTTCTTCACGCCTTTTCGAAATGGATAGGATGAAACAACGCCTATGACAGGACCAAAACCAGTCGGTGACGCTAGCTCAATTGAGCCAATCTTTGGTTGACAGTTAGAACAACACTCCGAGTCTGTTTACAGACAACTAATGTCGCACAGCTTCTGTCGCCATCTGGCTCCTGTCACCAAAATGGTGCTATTAACCGATATTGCCTTTATTATACCACCCCTTTTGGGGCCTCTCTGTCTCCTTCCTGTTACCAGAGATTTTGTAAAAAAATCATTAAGATAAAACATTGACCAGACAAAGAGGAATCCTAATCAAGAATGACCCACCCTTAGTCTATCTGGCTTCAATCTTTTCTGTATCACAACAAGCCTCATGTCAACACACAGTACATCAACCTCTTCTATTGTGTAAACTCAAATACCCGCCATATATATATTTCACCTTGTGCATAAGTTGTGTATCATTTGCTTGATAACGGTGCTAGGATCTGCACCGAAACGTCGCATCCACTACAATGAAGAAGTTGTCTATCCATAAAAAGTGTTTCTCTTTATCACACCAGCTTCTAAATGCCACTTAAGGAAGAAGAAATTGACCAGACAAATGTTTGATATAATGCTGTTGTGTTTAATAAGAACATTTACACCACTTTATATGAAGGACAGTTATTTTTTCCCCGCTTGTGTTCAGCAAGTGAGACGAGATGAACACATTTATCACCAGAGGAGAACAGATATCCTTCGGTCTTGAAAAGGATTATGTTTGAAATGACATGCTCCAAAAACCTTGACAAGCTTTTAGCACCCAACACACAGCGCATTGTGACACGGTATTGTGAAAACATGTATGGACCAAACTAAGATATTCCTATTTAAAGCCACTGGAGGGGGTTTGTATATTGGACTGACTGACTGAGTTTGGTTTTACGCCGCTTTTAGCAATATTCCAGCAATATCACGGCGGGGGATTGTATATTGGAAGCCCAGTCAACATTATATAATAGAGCAAGCACTACCCTGTAGACACCCACTCCTGGTCGGCCGTTTATGTCGCCCAGTCCTGCAGAACGGGTTTCATGGTTGTACTGTGTCCCCCCTGCGTCAGCTCGGCTTTGTCAAGTCGTTCTTTATGCTGCATTAAATATTTATGAATCTGTAGACCCATTGTGTATGATATGAGTCCCGTTGTGTCGACACGTGAGGACCAAGCATATCCAACACGCCTCAATTTAACGTTTATAAGTTGTGAAAGGTGGCAAATGAAGACGGACATGATCAGTGTTTTGTTAGTTAATATCCGACAGAGAAAATTGCTGCAGTTTTGAAATTAGCGAAAGTCTCTCGGCTTCCTTTAAGTAAAGTTAACTGAGGAACTTTTGTTTTTCTGTAAATTATGCTCATTTCAGAGATTAGATGTTAATCTTAGAGAAAATGGAAATATAACACATATGAAAAGTGTATGTTTTAATATACATACCAAAGCGTGGTTTTGTCAAATATTATTTTCGAGGAATCATAAGGTTTGGGTCAATGGGAAGTCTGAGTACCTTTGATTTACGTTATTCAAAATGCTCTTCCATCCTCAACTAACTCAAAGGTTATTACGTGGATGAGCAGTTTATGGTTATCCCATTCACACAAAGAAAGTATCCCCGTCACTCACATGGTGCTGACTACACTTGAAACAGACTGGGCAGGTGGACATCAGATCAGAGTCGGCCGTCATCATGTTACATAACGATGATACCTCTCCATCAGTAGCATCAAGGCTGTGTAAAGATAGTGCTGATCTGTGTAAGTTTTGTATTGGTGAACTCAGGAAACAACTTCCATTTTAGCATCTGGCTAGCTATTCTCGAAACATTCGTAGCCCTACGAACTTCTTAAGCCCATTCTTAAAACATTGGCTACGATCGAAGTTAAGAATTCTTAGGGCTACGAACGTTTCGAGAATAAGGGCTTCGTTCAGTTTCTTATTAATTAGATTGCTGCTTTCAAGTATATAAATCATGAAAAGAAAACTCACAAGGGAACAAACGTGGTTTTAACATTTGAATAATATGAATAGATAATAATGATCCCAAAGTGTGAAAAACAATAACGAGTATGTGTTTGTTTTATTGCCAATAGCATGTTCCCGCTGCTAATTTATTAAAATTGTGTGATCCCTTCTGGTAACCACTGATTTCTCGTCAAGAACTATAACGTACCAAGACGGGATCATTGGTACATTCACGCTAATATATTGACAAACAACTAGTCTCTAAAATGAACATATTTTACCCCCCAAAAATCATAGTGAAAAAAAAATAGAATATAATGAAAAGGAGCCCTGAGACTTTCTTCATTGGGGAAATCTAGACTTGTCACATTTTCAAGACTTTCGTGGGCTTTCTTGGATGTATTTGCTTCAGGGTCTGTATGACAGACTAGATAAAAGACAGCAATCGACCGCTCATTTCAAGCTGTCATTACGTCTCGCGTCATGGATGTGTAACTATTTGTTTGTAGCCAAACAAAGTCAAAAGCGATGTGTGTTACTTCCAAATAAAGATAGATGCTATTTTTTCTCGTTTTACACCTGGGACAGCGAGCCGATTTTGTTCCTCCTTGAAAAGTCTTCAAAGATGGGGTAAGACAGGGCTGTGTTCCTTCCCATTATTACTTTCCACAAAAAAGTAGAAGACTGGACCTCAGTGAACATTTGGTGTCGGTTATTAAACACCCTCTTCGTTTGTAATTTTTGATTGTAAAAGAACTCCACTGCCACACACGGTGATTCACAGCAACATGTAGCTATTTCTGTTAGTCCATTTTCTTTCTATGAATCATTAGGCTGTTGAAATAACTGAACAGGCATTCGTTGATTCCATTCAGTTTCACCCAATATGTTTATGCGCTTTACAAACGGTTTGTAAACATAGACGATATGACATTGCAGCTGTAAGGAATTCGTACAGAACCATACACCATGCACAAAACACTCCCAGCGAAAAGGTATCAATATTGTGTGTCCTGCGCACGCCGTGTATAAGGGGTAGCGCTCTATTGACGGACTCTGCTATAAATCGAAAGGGAGTTATTGTGCGGGCACTGAGTTGGAACCCCAGTTGAAACTGTTTGTGCCGGCTATACAAATGACAGGAATCTAGTGTCATGTCATAAACACAAGCCCGAGTCTCGATTCAGAACGTGTTTCTCCTTGGGCGTTGACGAGATCCAACATGGATGACACCCGAAGTAACATATCAGAGACTTACCGCTAATTTGCAGTCTTTTACGGTAAGATATAGTTAACGTTTTATTGAATGTTTGTCATGCGGAGGAAGAATGAAAACACGGATTGTACTCTGAGACTGCTATATTACTCATATGTGTTGTTTGATATGGAGTTGTCTGATACTTCTAGGGAATTCGTTTTGCCACCATCGGTGTACGTTACGATATATCACACCGTGTCATTGTTCATACGATATTTTAAATATCATTTTCCAATTAAGTCACGGTTCAACCATTTAACATATCTTTGTATAAATCTAGATATTGAAAGTAAACGGTCAAAACTGAAACGACTGCTTACAAGATGTATTTGTTAAAATAGAGAGTTTCAAACGTAAGAAACTTAATAAATACTTTTCATTTACAGAGCATACCTTGAATTTCGCTATGGCGCCTGAGAGTCTTGTACTGGCGCTTCTCTTGGGTGTGATTGGTAAGTACACCGTTGTACCATGTGAATCTTAAGAGACACTGTTGAAATCTGTAACTGTCATGTATCTTAATGCAATCTGTATTAACGATAATAATCATTCACCATGTACCATACGCAATCAAGGCAGAGTATTTGAAACATTTGAAATGCTGTGAGGTACACGATACTGACCGCTGTCTATTTGTATTATTCCTTGACGCGGGTATTTAGTTGTGTTCAATATCTATACATAGTAGTCCTTGATAAATATACTGACTAATGTCATCTAAATGTAGCATTCCTAAAGATAGATACTCAAAGCATTACACTCTCTATTTGCATTAATCCTTCTACTGATGCACAATAGTTTACTATGAGTTACTTATAATGTTAAACTAAGATATACATGCTTCGAGACATACGCTCTCTACTCCATTTACAGATATTCACTATATTACAAATATATTTATCGCGATATATATCAGTACTGTAACTCCTTATTCCTGATATGCCTGGAGATACAGACTCAGTACTGTACACTTTCTATTCCTGGAGATACAGATACAGTACTGTACACTCTCTATTCCTGGAGATACAGATACAGTACTGTACACTCTCTATTCCTGGAGATACAGACTCAGTACTGTACACTCTCTATTCCTGGAGATACAGACTCAGTACTGTACACTCTCTATTCCTGGAGATACAGACTCAGTACTGTACACTCTCTATTCCTGGAGATACAGATACAGTACTGTACACTCTCTATTCCTGGAGATACAGATACAGTACTGTACACTCTCTATTCCTGGAGATACAGACTCAGTACTGTACACTCTCTATTCCTGGAGATACAGACTCAGTACTGTACACTCTCTATTCCTGAGGAGATACTCTCTATTCCTGGAGATACAGACTCAGTACTGTACACTCCAGATACTGTACACTCACTCTATTCCTGGAGATACAGACTCAGTACTGTACACTCTCTATTCCTGGAGATACAGACTCAGTACTGTACACTCTCTATTCCTGGAGATACAGACTCAGTACTGTACACTCTCTATTCCTGGAGATACAGACTCAGTACTGTACACTCTATTCCTGAGATATTCCAGTAGATACACTCTCTACAGATACTGTCACACTCTCATTCCTGGAGATACAGACTACAGTACTGTACACTCTCTATTCCTGGAGATACAGACTCAGTACTGTACACTCTATTATTCCTGTACACTCTCTATTCCTGGAGATACAGACTCAGTAGTGTACACTCATTCCTGGAGATACAGTACACTCTCTATTCCTGGAGATACAGACTCAGTACTGTACACTCTCTATTCCTGGAGATACAGATACAGTACTGTACACTCTCTATTCCTGGAGTACTGTACACTCTCTACTCAGTACTGTACACTCTCTATTCCTGGAGATACAGACTCAGTACTGTACACTCTCTATTCCTGGAGATACAGACTCAGTACTGTACACTCTCTATTCCTGGAGATACAGACTCAGTACTGTACACTCTCTATTCCTGGAGATACAGACTCAGTACTGTACACTCTCTATTCCTGGAGATACAGACTCAGTACTGTACACTCTCTATTCCTGGAGATACAGACTCAGTACTGTACACTCTCTATTCCTGGAGATACAGACTCAGTACTGTACACTCTCTATTCCTGGAGATACAGACTCAGTACTGTACACTCTCTATTCCTGGAGATACAGACTCAGTACTGTACACTCTCTATTCCTGGAGATACAGACTCAGTACTGTACACTCTCTATTCCTGGAGATACAGACTCAGTACTGTACACTCTCTATTCCTGGAGATACAGACTGCCAGTACAGTACTGTACACTGTACACTCTCTATTCCTGGAGATACAGACTCAGTACTGTACACTCTCTATTCCTGGAGATATAGACTCAGTACTGACTCATTCCTGGAGATATAGACTCAGTACTGTACACTCTCTATTCCTGGAGATACAGACTCAGTACTGTACACTCTCTAGACCTGTACAGATATTCCTGGAGATACAGACTCAGTACTGTACACTCTCTATTCCTGGAGATATACTGTACACTCTCTATTCCTGGAGACTCAGTACTGTACACTCTCTATTCCTGGAGATATAGACTCAGTACTGTACACTCTCTATTCCTGGAGATACAGACTCAGTAGTGTACACTCTCTATTCCTGGAGATATAGACTCAGTACTGTACACTCTCTATTCCTGGAGATACAGACTCAGTACTGTACACTCTCTATTCCTGGAGATAAAGACTCTAAGTATTGTTCACTCTATTCCTGGAGATACAGGTCTTCTTTACATAGATGTACACTCTCTATTCCTGGAGATATAGACTCAGTACTGTACACTCTCTATTCCTGGAGATACATACTCAGTACTGTACACTCTCTATTCCTGGAGATAAAGACTAAGTATTGTTCACTCTCTGGTCTTCTTTACATAGATGCTTATAAGCGTACTCATATTACTGGTGACATATATATCATACTATAATATTTCTTGATACAGAAAACTATTACTGTACACTTCCTTCTGGTTCTTGATATTTAACTCACTGTGGCATTCTCACAATTCCTAATATTCATTAATAAGAAGGCATAGTATTGTACATCATTCCCTTTCCGGGAAGAATTGAATTGATAACATTCTATTCCCATTAGTACTGGATCTACATACTCAGTACTATAGCATTTCTTTTATTACAGGCACCTGTTTGGGTCAGAAAAGGCCCCCTGTCTTTACGAGCAACATGAACGGCCTGCAGATATCAGAATCCACGGAAGTCGGTAAGTGAAGATAGTTGATTGCTACATTATGTACCGTTATGCCTGTACGAAAAACAACATGACCTATGCTCCAAGCTGTCATCATTACACGTTGTACAGCTATATTTAAACTTACATTTACATTAAAAATTAAATTAATCTTATTACACACTTTAAAAGGAACTAGCTCCGTTTACAATAGAAGATCAAATCATAGACCAAAGACTTCATTTGATATTGTACATGGTATACCCCCGAGACTTGCAAAACTTGTTTGATGGCCACAAGGATGTCTCTCGTATAGGAGAACGTGGCATCGACATTTCTGATCTGTAAATATACAGAGTGATCGGAAATGTTAAATTGATTATGTAATTCGAATTTTTCGAACTCATGTGAGACCTAACTACAACTGGTGTGGCCACCAGGGGTTCAAGTTCGCATTCAAGGTGATATCACTTACACATAGACATTTGTGCGTGTGCGCGTGTGTGTGTGTGCGCGCGCGTGTGTGTAGTTTTGTTATTATAGTGCTTCTCTACTGAGCTACCATGATGGAGTTTGACATAGATACCCCACTCAGGCCAATTACACTTACTGTAAACCACACAGTTCTATTTTATCCCCTATGATGCCGAGCGCCGGGCAGGGTAACAACAAATACCATTTGTTAACTCTGTACTGTACACACTCTATTCCTGATATGCCTGGAGATACATACTCAGTACTGTACACACTGTATTCCTGATATGCCTGGAGATACATACTCAGTACTGTACACACTCTATTCCTGATATGCCTGGAGATACATACTAAGTATACATACTTAGTACTGTAATTCCGAACATGATAACAAGTCTCATTTGTTAACGTGTCTTGGTGTGACCTTGTCCAGGTAAAGGGTCCGTCCACAATACCACGAAAGCGTTTAAGATGTATCCTTAATCTAGGTGGTATAATTTTAAATTACATGCAAAATTATTTCAGTAGTATTAGCATCCGTGCTGTTAATGGTAATAGCCAAGATATACTGAACATGCGTAGACTTTTTTTGCTGCTATATTTACAGGTACAGAGGTTTATAGGTTGTCCGCAACTGGTGTGGAGCCTATCGAATATGACATGAAGGCAGACATGTTAATAGTCAACTCAACGACAGGAGTAGTGACGCTAACTCGGACTGTCGACTACGAGTTAGGGGTACGTGTTGAGTGTGTGACACAGTCTCGTCACTATGTGTTATATGCACGCAAGGAAACGTTCGACCTGTGTTCACAGGTGTATATGCGGTGGTGAGTCTAATAACCAGAGGATAGAGAGTGTCATCTATTCAAATTCTTGCGTTTGATCAAAGGCCTAAGGTAAGCGTTGTAAATGGTGATTCTCACCCAATCTAGGGTAAGCGTGGTAAATCGTGATTCTCACCCGATCAACTGCCAAAGGCCCAAGGCCTAGGGTTTGTGGGGTAAATTTTGATTCTCACTCGATCAACTGTGAAAGGACTTAGGCCTAGGGTAAGTGTGGTAAATTTTGATTCTCACCCGATCAACTGTGAAAGGCCCAAGGCCTAGGGTATGTGGGGTAAATTTTAATTCTCGCTCGATCAACTGCGAAAGGCCCAAAGTCTAGGATAAATGTGGTATATTTTAATTCTCACTCTATCAACTGCGAAAGGCCCAAGGTCTAGGGTATGTGGGGTAAATTTTGATTCTCACCGGATCAACAGTGAAAGGCTCAAAGTCTAGGGTGAGTGTGGTAAATCGTGATTCTCACCCGATCAGCTGCGAAAGGACCAAAGTCTCAGGTAGGTGTGGTAAATTTTGATTCTCACCCGATCAACTGCCAAAGGCCAGAGGCCTAGGGTAAGTGCGGTAAATTTTGATTCTCACTCTCAACTGCGAAAGGCCCAGGGCCTAGGGTAAGTATGGTAAATCGTGATTCTCACCCAATCAACTATGAAAAGCCCAGGGCCTAGGGTAAGTGTGGTTAATCGTGATTCTTACCCGATCTACTATAAAAGGCCCAGGGCCTAGGGGAAGTGTGGTAAATCGGGATTCTCACTTATATAACATATAGTGGCTTCTTGCTTCATTCGTAAATGAATGAATTTTGTTAGTAAGTAACACATGTAACAAGAGCGAGAGAAAGCATAGTATCTCTCATTAAACATTCCTCTTCGTATGTGCACATATACTGTATAGTATACTAGCCACATAAAGAAACTGTGCATTGTCAAAATATTATCCCAGTTGATAAGTACGATAACAATGTCAAAGGTACATATAAACTTTAATGGAGGGATCATGAGACCATAACAAGTCGGGAGAATTTCAATTGAAAAGTCAATCACAATGACGTCACGAGTCCACAACCGGGACAGGGGTCAAACGACCATGTCACAAGCTCAATAACGGGTATGTCCACCATCGGCATTGAGAACAGCAGTGCATCGACGACGCATAGAGCCTATCAAACGTGCAAGGAAGGCTTGTGGGATGTCACGCCAGATTCTCTCAAGTTCTGTTGCAAAGTCAAGGACGTTATCTGGCGGATGAGGAAGACGGCGTAGACGTCGATCCATCTCGTCCCAAACATGCTCTATCGGGGAGAGATCCGGTGAATTTGCAGGCCAAGGCAGTAAGTCAACGTTGTGGTGTTGCAAGAAATCCATAGCAACCCTTGCCGTATGAGGGCGGGCATTGTCCTGTTGGAATGTTAACCCAGGGCCATGACGTTGCAGAAAAAGGAATTGCCACAGGTCGAAGAATCTGATCCCTGTAGCCCACACCAGTTAAGTTGCCCTGAACAATCACCAAAGGAGTTCTTTGGCGTGCTGTTATTCCACCCCAAATCATCACGGAACCACCACCAAAGCGATTCCTCTCCAAGACACCGGCCTGTGCATTACGTTCTCCCACGCGTCTATAGGCACGTTGACGTCCATCACTATGGGAAATGTTAAACCTGGACTCATCTGTGAAAACAACATTTCTCCACCAAAACAAGGGTCTGCGGACATGATTTCGGCACCACATTCGGCGAGCTTGTCGATGACGTTGTGTCAGGATAGGCCGTATGGCAGGACGTCGTGGTCTGATCCCATGATGACGTAAACGTTGTCGAACTGTGTTGGGGTGGATACGGCGAAGTCCTTGGATGGTTCTGGTAGTCATCACTGCAGTCTGAAACCTGTGGCGAAGATGGGTCACCCTTATCCATCTGTCCTGTCTTGGCGTTGTTACACGTGGACGTCCAGAACGTGGCCGATCGATGACGTCATTTGTGTTCTTGTAGCGTCTCATCAGTGCAGAAATGGTGTTCCGGTGGCAGTGGAAATGTGCAGCCACTTGTCGTTGAGACATTCCCCCCACGGACCATCCCAGTGGCCTCATGACGTTGTGCAGACGTGAGCCTTGGCATGCTATGCGTTTCAATAGCCGTTTAATTTTTTGAACGATCGCAAGGGCAGGGGTTGAGCTTTCCAAAGTGACAGTATTGTGTGGCATTCATTTGCTCTGTTTCTCTTTCCCGGAATGCACTTGCAACAACGTATTGCAAGTCTCAAGGACGAAACCACTGACGTCACGGAACGTGATACGTGCATGCATGTTGGATACATGTCACTAATCTCTGAGTTTAAATCCTTACGTGTCTACACAGGTTTGATACATTTAGATTTTAAATTTTTGTATGCACAGTTTCTTTATGTGCCTAGTATTTGACCAGAAATTATGGAGAATTTTAGGAATATGTTTAATTGGATTTCGAGTAATAACAACCTTGGCCAGCTATCAAGTGCTTGGTTTCATTCAAGAGAGACACCTCCGTTAATCCTTTTTCATTAGTTTGTGAAGAGTTATCCCCCTTTGTGTACTTGCTAGCAGACGACATTTTCAGTGATCCTCAGTATGGATGATTTAGAGAAGAGGAAGTTGATTTTAGAGTATTATAACAAGGACATCAGATCAGCTAAAGTCATTTCAAGTAGAACAGGCATCCCTTTGTCCACTGTTTATCGTGTTTTGAAAAATATTGCAAATGGATATGTCAATGAGCACCAGGGAGGCGCAGGTAGGCCCAGAAAATTGACTGTCGGTGACAGGAGGCGGCTTGGTATTCTTGTTTCTAAAAACAAACGAAGGAGTTTAGAAAACTTAAGGCTGGATATGATTGATAGAGGAACTGTGGCTGTCTGTAAGGGGCCAATTAGAACTGAGCTGCATGCAATGGGTTGGCAGAAAAGTCGAGGAATTCCATCACCGATCATGAAACCTGAACAAAAGGAGCAAAGGTTGACCTGGTGCTTACAGCATAGAAATTTTAACTGTGACAATGTGATTTTCTCAGATGAAAGTTCTGTGTGGCTGTTTCCTATAATACACTGAAATTCCGGACCAAACAAACTGAAAAACCTTTATATCAGCGCCCAAAGTACAGCCCGAAATTTAACGTGTGGGGTGGCATATCTGTGTTAGGGGCAACGCCCCTCTGTGTATTTGAAGGGAATATGAACAGTGAGCGGTACACAGATATTCTCGAGGGACATTTACTTCCATCTGCTCACGTGTTCTATGGAAATGTTTGGATTTTCCAGCAGGACAACGACCCAAAACATCGTTCAAAGCATTTACAGGCCTGGTTTCGGACCCAAAATATGACATTATTAGATTGGCTAAGCTATAGCCCTGACCTAAATCCAATAGAAAATGTTTGGGGACTTATGAAGGAAAGTGTCAATAAGAAAAATCTGACAAATATTGCTGAAATGAAAGAAGAGGTGGTCCGATATTGGGACAGCATGGACCACGACTTTCTAACTTCTTTGATCAGTAGTATGCCCCTGCATTGAAGCCTGCATTGCTACCCATGGTGACTTGACAAAATACTTATTGTTCACCTGTCTTTGAATCTGGAGTTATGTTCTGCTAATATTCACATTAAATACGTGAGTAATGAGTTTTTTTTATAAAAAAATGTTTACAATCTTTAAATTCTCAATAATTTCTGGTTGTACTGTAACATATCAAGCTCATCAGTAGAAGATAAGAATAAACTGCTTTGTCAGCAGGTAAAAAGAACATTCAAAGTGTAAAATAATATGACAATCACAGCGATGATATGTCATTAACAATGGTTGCATTACCTTTCTAGCACATCGATATGGGGCGATCAGGTAGACTATTGGTTAAAGCGTCAGCTCGTCACGCTGAAGACCCGGGTTCGACTCCCCACAATGTCTGAAGCCCATTTTGGTGCCCCCCACCGTAATATTGCTGGAATATTGCTAAAAGCGGCGTAAAACCAAACTCACTCAATCACTCAAAATATTCGATATGTATTCGCTGTGTTTGAACAAGCGAATGATTTCATTCTTACATTTTCTTTTTCTATTTTTTTTCAGGAAAAGAAGTTCACAGTTCGAGTTAGTGCCATTGACGGCGATGGTCTTGTGGTAATATTCATAAGTCTATAATTATTATTCCATCTGAGTATATTTCCAATATATTTCTTACCCCAGATTGGACCATCTTATACTTTGTAGATGATTTCCTTGTACATGGATCAACACACGTATATAATTGCAATAAATTGTGATAATGATTTTCATACACTTTTACATTATTTATACGTGGCCATTGTTTCCTATCATTTTACACCTTCGCATTATGTAACAAACAATGTTATGTAACGTTACTTTTCACTGAAAGCTGTTTCCTGGAGGTGTTTTCTGGATGAAGTCTTCTTGCAGGAAACAGTCTGGCCTACCATAGAGGTAGTGGACGCCAACGACAACGCACCTTATTTTCTCCGAGACACATATCGGCAGACTATCCCAGAGGTAGTACTTCATTTCGTCTCTTTCATAAACCCCGTGCATATAGTTAAAGAACACCCATTAGAATTGGTCTTCAGCAACCCATGCTTGTCGGAAAAGGCGACTAACGGGATCTAGTGGTCAGGCTCGCTGACCTGGTGGATGCATGTCATCTTATCCCGACTGCGTAGATCGATGCTCATGATGTTGATCACGGGATTGTACGGTCCAAACTCAATTATTTACAGCCGACCGCCATATAGATCGAATATTGCTGACTGCGGCGTTAAACAACAAACAAACAAACAAACAGCTGGTAAAACAAAGTGACAGATAGACAAACAAGCAAACATAATCGCAATCACTGGTTTGTGTGGTCCATACTCCATTGTTTGAAGAGTTGCATTCATATATTTTGATTGTTGCTGAGTGTAAACATGCAACAAGCATAACACCAGGCTACGCGACATCTGTAACTACCGGTGGTACATGACGTTTACCTCTTGTCGTTATCTACAGGACTTTTCCATCGGCACCGACGTCATCAGCAATCTTAGAGCCGAGGACAAAGACTTCAAAGGCGGCCTTATAGTGGTTACGTGTGAGCCAAACGCCACCTTGGCCAATCCAAACAGCACTGAAATAACATACGCAGAGGTAACCGGACGAAGTTGATAGTTTCCATGTTGAAAATACGAATGAAGAGTTTTACACTTCTCTTCCCCCTTTGAGAAATAAATGTATAAAAATGAACTGTGGAAACCTGTCCGAATCTTACGTATAGTGTCCTGCGTAGTGATGTGTAGTTTCCATTGCCGTGTTGAACCCCAAAATATAACCAGTAACCTCATTTTTGGCATAATGCCACTGTGCGATATATATGAGCTTACCATCAGTTTTTATGGAATTGTTATACCAAACTGATTTGCTCATAATGGCATATGGATTCGCTGACAAAAATGTTCCTTGGATTATTTGAAAATAACAGTTGAACAGACCTTTGCAGAATAACTGAAACGATTCTGTGTCATTTGATTATATCTCTGGTATAATTTAATTGACATTTAGCTTCATCAAACCACAGTCTCACTGAACAAAGTCACACTTGCGGTTATCTAATGTGCATACTTATGTCATTTGGGTATGGCATACATGTGGTTTTAGGTCATGAGATTATACCACGGGTAGATTCTTTAGTTAAATTATACAAGACAGTATGCCTGGGCTAAGTCATGAGCAAGCGCATTAGTAATTTTTCAGTATACTATGGCGCAAGACGACTGCAGGCGTCACCATTCGCCATCCACTTACACAATACTGAGATACGTTTGTACAGATGTTTGCAACAATAAAAAAGAGCAAAATGTCAGCTTATTGTTTTAAAGTTACAGTTGGAACATGCGAATCTGATTTAATGTACTTATTTCGCAGTACGTGGAAGCGTGCAACACGTTCCAGCCATTTGTGATGGAGACTAACAACAAGAACTGGCTGGGCAGAATCAAACTTCTTAAAGGCCTGGACTATGAAACACGATCTACCTACCAGTTGCCACTTATCACGACGGTCAGTATAGTAGTAGCCCTCCGTTCACTCATGGATGACCTTGAGCTTGTACTTTTAGAAGAATGAATTTTACTTAAATGTGAAAACATAAAAATAAATAAGAATACCTTCGAATATACACGTATTTACACGCTTCGGTCCCCGTGCTTGAAATGCATTAAAGGCGGTTCAGACCCCTTATCACATTAACTACTGTACAGCCCGTAAAGTCAATCAATCATTCTCAATGCAAAGATTCCACTGTACATATAGCAGGCGCTGGGTGGACCTCATATTACCAAATGTGGAAACATCAGTATATGATTTAACCATGTTTGCAGGATGGCCGAATGTCACGCATGCAGAGTTTTGAGATTATCCTCTCTGATGTGAACGACACACCGCCGAGGTTCAGCTACGTCCCGGAGAATGTCCCTATTCAAGAAAACATCCCCATAGTGAGTCTCCGCCTTTATTACACTGTAACACACTATAGAGAGTAAAACCTTGTGAAACCGGACAACCCAGATTCCGGACGATGGAGGGTGGGGGATGAGGGGTGATGGTGGAGTGATTCATAGTTTTATTTTTATTGACAAAGTTCAGATTAACGAAAGGCCCGGCATTGTTATCACTCAGTTATATCATTTCTGTCAGTTTCACGTTGCATAGGTAAGTCCGAGAGGATTGTTTAGATATCCACCTTTACCATCCAACGAGTACAATATTCTAATATCGTTACGTGGAAGGGAAGCAACCCACAAAGTAGGCGATCGACTGTGTGCTCTTGTCGTGTGTATCAGTTGAATAGAAGTTCTACACTAGTGCAACAGTGCAGGACTAACATGATTGTAAAAGTTCATGGACTCATCTCAAGTGCTTCTTTAAGAACGCTTTTTACTGATGTTTGTGTTGCAGGGCACTGTAATCGGAAGCGTCACAGCGAATGATGGAGACACTACAAACCCTCGCCCTATTCGCTATAACGTCACTCGCTGCCCTACAGACAGCTCGAGCAGAAACGGTGATGCCATTTATAAACACATACGTTAACATGTATGTAGGTCTGCCCTCCAAAAAGATACAGCTTTAGGTGTATCAATCACATTTTGGTCAAAAGGTTCTTTCTTTTTTTAATTTTTTATTTAAGGTTTCTTCTGAATTCAGATTCTGAGGATATCTTTATTCATTCATTCATCCATTCATTCATTTATCATCCATCCATCAATTCATTCATTCATTCATTCATTCATTCATTCATTCATTCATTCATTTATTTATTTATTTATTTATTTATTTATTTATTTATTTATTTATTTAGACAATTTAAGGTTTCTTCTTAATGCAGATGGTGAGGGCATGTTTTATTTATTTATGTATTTATTTATTTTGACAATTTAAGGTTTCTTTTTAATGCAGACGCTGAGGACATGTTTACCGTGAACTTCATTAACGGATCTATATCCACAAAGACAAATATTGACCGGGAGAGTGCTAGCGTCATAAGAGGTCTTAAACTTTGCATCAAGGTATGGCTGCACTTGGCATAACTAGGGTGTGGAAATGGTATCCAGAGAACTAATATGCAGATAATACAAGATAACCGGAACTAACAAAGTGAAATCCCCTAAAACAGTTAATGGACTGATAAAAGTTCTCCACACAACTGTAATAGTGGTAGATAAACCTTTTGAATTATGTTATTTACCATGTTCAGGTTTTTGATTGATGATCTAGTGTATGGCCGATGATGAAGCATCATATTTGCAAGTTTTTCATGTTTAGATTAATATGATGCACAGACAGTGTTCCGAAAAGATATTTATCAAACACTATTTACAACTTATAAGATTATATCCGATCCTAAAATATCAGGGGCGTAGCTACCATTATGAACAAAAGCCCGGGCTTACACATGATTGTTGGTAAAACGGTTGGGCAAGCCCTCAGTACTATCTAAATATAAAGCTTTGCAACCTATCGGGCTTACACGAAAACATTGGTTTGCTACGCGCCTGAATATAGAAGGAAAAGGAACACAAAACATCCAAAAATTATGTTTGTATTCTAAGGCTCAAGAAGTTATCGACATCACCACCACGCCAATTGAGATCGGGGACAACAACGAGACCACCGCTGTGGCACTGATACGGATCGATGTGCAAGACCTAAACGACCAGACCCCCTCCTTCAGCAACGCTAACTACAACACCTCCATCTACGAAGACATCCCCAACGGCACAGCCGTACCAGGCATCGCCCTCACAATAACGGATCTGGATGGCGTAAGTTAGATATAGCTGTGATATCATGTTAGCAATTGGACCAACTGAAAATATTGTCTGAACTAAAAGCAGAGCAAGACAAGTACCTTTTCGTGTTAACAAGTGTTAACGAATTTTTGTTTGTTTGTTGTTTAACGCCGGGGCCAGTAATATTTCATCTATATGGCGGCGGTCTGTATATAATCGAGTTTGGACCAGACAATCCAGTGATCAACGCAATTGGGATACGATGACTTGTTGTCACCCTAGTCAACGAGCCTCTTACGCCAAGCATGGGTTGCTGAAGACCAGTTCTAAGCCGGATCTTAACGGATCTAATATTATTACCAATAACGACACAGCGTAGCATAAGTCTTTACTTAATGTTGTTTAATTTGTGTGGATTGTCATGACACAATACGGGTCCTTTCAGCACCAACCAAAATGGCAAATGCATCATAATGATTTGTGAATTGTATATTTTATGGGGTATGTGTTCTAGATTGTGTAAATTCAACCGCTTAAAGGTCACATGCAACGTAAAACACAACTTTGCAGATTCTGATACCTTTCGGTATAAAACGCGCGAAATCGGAGTTCAAACGTTTCACTAATTTTCCCCAGACTTTTCTGGGGAATACGGGTTTCAACAGCTGGGCTGCGCTCATAGCACGTGCGCAGTGAAATAGGTTCGCGAAACTTGGAAGCGGGCTTTCTGGTGAATACTCGGTGAAGGCTTTGGTGTGAGCTATTTTCATAATGTTTTGTTGATATCTCACAGGCGCGAGCTTTTTATATGTTATGACAGTAAATAAACTGTTTATATAATTTCATTTGTCTATTTCACCACACGTTCTTCTTACCGAGTCACTTTCTCAGTTCGATACTAAAGGCAATGTCATTATTTAGCGTTGACACAATTTCTAACTGTGATATAGATATGTCGCTGTCACAGACAAAACTCAATGTCTTGTTTTATTGACACCTGTGTGTCTGCCTGCCTGTCTGCTAATGACAATATTCAATACACAACTGCGATCACTGACCACATGCAATTTGAACTTAACACCAATCAGGCTATACACCATAAACAAATCGCATTGATTTATGGCCCGAGTTCGGTCTCTGTCACATTATGGAATTTCACAGACAGGCAGGTGTGATACTTGAACACATGACATGTTATGATGTCTGTTGATTGCAAAATGTTATAAACAAAAAATGAGCATGTATTTACAAAACCCAACATCTCTATATATACACACACAATGAGCCGTGGAGGCGGCATCTGCTAATGAACCAGCCGTTACACTTGAGTGCACACCCACCCGCTCTTACTGGGTTCGGTATCCCGGCTGCTTCGTTTCGAGGGAGGTAAACCCAAGTACAAAATATTGCACTTTTGATTTGCGATTATACGCTTATAATTTTGTTTATTTGTTTTTCATAATCAGCAATGCATATTATATGTCATGAAGAAGTTATAATTGTGTTTTAATTATGTTTGATTTTTTGGTTGCATGTGACCTTTAACTAATAAGTAAAGACCAATAGACAGTAGCAGCCAACTTGTTACAAATTTCGTTGACACTATTTCGATAGTCTACTTACTCAAGATGTGTTACCGCTATGAAGCTAGTTGTCGGTGATAGCCGTGTTTCGGGATCGTTCATGTATTGCAGTATCAGAGTGAGTGAGTGAGTTTAGTTTTACGCCGCACTAATATTTCAACTATATGGCGGCGGTCTGTAAATAATTTAGTCTGGACCAGACAATCCAGTGATCAACATCATGAACATCGATCTGCGCAGTTGGGAACCGATGACATGTGTCAACCAAGTCAGCGAGCCTGACCGTTTGTTGCAAGCATGGCTTGTTGAAGACCTATTCTACCCCGGATCTTCTTCAGTTTCAGATGCTGTTTTATGACTGCCATATATGTATATGACAATAAGAAAACAAAACACTTCAAATTCCATTATAACATGTCAATTTTCACATGGCCACCATGAAATATGTATATTAGTTGTTTTGACCAAAGGACCTTCATATTTTCGGTGACCCTTCCCTCATCTCCACTGCAACCCCCCTTTAAGAAGTAACCCTCCCCTTAAATCCAGATAATCTCGCTTTATATCCTAAATATCTGCTAATGTGCTAAAATTGTGTACCATAGTTTTCTTTATGGTATTGCTGAAATATTGTCCCATGAAAGAATATTTCAGCTCATTTGTGGTTGTACTAAAAATATGCCATTGAAGTACTGTTAGTACAACCAGCACCTAGACTAGTTGCCACTGAGAATCCAGGTATTTCACGAGTGCTTGTGTTTGTTCTATATTACCAGTATCCAGCCAACAGCTATGATGTTCGATTGGTCAACTTTCAAGATGTCTTCGCGGTCTTCCCAGTTAATGGCTCCGGTCGAAATATCGGGGGTATTAAAGTCATAGACACGTCAAAGATTGACTACGAGAGTGGCAACCGACTATTCGAGCTCAGGGTATGTATATCATGGCTTTGTTTGTGAGCAAGTAGTTAAAGTGTCAACTCATCATGACAAACACCCGGTGTCATAGATGTTACGTCCTAAAATTTATCCGAGGATTGCTAGTCCATGAAAATGGTATCTACACGTAGTGTCCTCGGATTTGTAATACAAAGGAAACAAATATTGCCGATGTGACTGTAAATCTTAATTCAGTCTTTACTCAAGGAAACAGAGACATTTCTGAAATATTGCCGATGTGACTTTAAATCTTAATTCAGTCTTTACTCAAGAAAACAGCGATATTGCTGAAATATTGCCGATGTGACTGTAAATCTTAATTCAGTCTTTACTCAAGGAAACAGCGATATTGCTGAAATATTGCCGATGTGACTGTAAATCTTAATTCAGTCTTTACTCAAGGAAACAGAGATATTGCTGAAATATTGCCGATGTGACTGTAAATCTTAATTCAGTCTTTACTCAAGGAAACAGCGATATTGCTGAAATATTGCCGATGTGACTGTAAATCTTAATTCAGTCTTTACTCAAGAAAACAGCGATATTGCTGAAATATTGCCGATGTGACTGTAAATCTTAATTCAGTCTTTACTCAAGGAAACAGAGATATTGCTGAAATATTGCCGATGTGACTGTAAATCTTAATTCAGTCTTTACTCAAGAAAACAGCGATATTGCTGAAATATTGCCGATGTGACTGTAAATCTTAATTCAGTCTTCACTCAAGGAAACAGAGATATTGCTGAAATATTGCCGATGTGACTGTAAATCTTAATTCAGTCTTTACTCAAGGAAACAGAGATATTGCTGAAATATTGCCGATGTGACTGTAAATCTTAATTCAGTCTTTACTCAAGAAAACAGAGATATTGCTGAAATATTGCCGATGTGACTGTAAATCTTAATTCACTCTTAACCCAAGGACACCAGGTGGTCCTACTAGGCGACCAACATGTATTTCATTTGTCCCGATTGATGATGTCACGACCTTTTTACCTTTTCCCTGCACAGATAATTGCCTACGAGAACAAGTTTGCAGAAGGTGGCTTCCAGCCTAACACCGGATCGACCAAAGTGTCTATCCATGTCCTGGATGTCAACGACAACACCCCGAGGTTCTCCCAGATTGTTTACAATACTTCTGTGATGGAGAACGACGTTGGCTACTTTCCGATCATCAGTTACATCCAGGTGCGTGAGTGGGTCTAGTTTTATGCCGCTTATAGCAATATTCCAGCAAATTGACTTCACACATTGTACCCATGTGGGGAATTAAAACCGGGTCTTCAGCGTTAGGTTACCCCACCGCCCCCTCAGTTGAGTAAACAACAGAGACCTCGTCAATGAAACACATACGTATGGTGAGGTCAGGTGAGGTGAGGTGAAATGGGGTTTAACGTCGCAGTTAAGAATATTTCGCTCATATGACGAAGTGCATGCGTGTGTATGTGTGGGTGCTTCTACTAGCCCAGATTTAAGCTGTTTTTTTATAATGCTAGCTCACTGAAATACCATGCCGCAGTTAAGCATGAATACTCCACTCAGACACATTATACTGACTCAGAGCCGGCCAGTCCTTTTTGTACCCATTAATGCCAAGCACAGGCAGGGACCAACAAGTACCATATTTTAACGTCTTTTTGTATGACGTGGTCGGGGATCGAACCCGCGACCTTCCGCTCTAACCACTACACCACGGAGGCGGTAGATACGTATGGAGTATTGTAGGGGACTCTACTGAGTAGGCTATGAGGATCCTGTATTCCGTAATACTATCCAGGCTCAAATTTACTTTGTTATGGTACAGAAATATTGCTTTAAAAAAAACAGCAATAAAATATACATTCCAGTTTTAACGCAGAATACATACATACATACTGACATTTGTACAGCGCCGATATCCAGCTCAGCTCAGCTGCTCAAAGGCGCTTTGTTTTTCCTTCGTTCACTGGATGTCAATATCAACGGCACATCGTATTGTCAATCTCAACTCCCTGGGGACCATACAATTCAACGTTTAACACATAACACAGACATTAAACATCTAGAACGCACATATATAAGCATGTAAACACACTATGATCTTGTTAATGACCTTGGGGTCGGTTAGGAGGATTGAGAAACGGTGGTCGGCTGGCAACCAATATACCCTTATCTTACCTCACACATAAATGTCTTTTTCTGATTGGCTGAGGGCTCTTCTGTTATTTTTAATGTACCCTGCTTACAAGCGCGTAACACTTTCTATGGTACCCGCTGGGAATGCCAAACTGTGGGAATTCATTTGATACTTCGTGTTAGTAATTCTTTATCTCGAATAATTGAGTCACGTATATGATGTACGGAAATTACCGATGTTTTGCAAATGCAAATCGATGGAAGGGAGATACCTCTAAATTTGTTTCTCTTGTCGTCTGCTAGATTCTATGTCATCTGGAAATCTAGTATTGACTACTAGTATTTGCCTTACTCTGGTACTCCTGATTATGATCCGATACCCGTGCTTCAAACAGTTCAAAATTAACATTCAGGTGCTCAGGGAACATACACAAACATAGAGGGTCATCAACCAGTGACCTACTCATAATGTTAAACAGCAGTATGGTATTTCAGTGGGTTTGCATATAGAAAAGTCCAGACAAGGAGAAACACACAAACACCCGCACGTACGCACATGTAAACACACACGCACAGAAAAGTATAGTAATTGTGAGCCCCTTTCGCTTCTTACTGAAATACATGATGCTGTATTTTTAACTAATTTCATTGTAGGCGTCCGACCCAGACTCGGGATCCATGGGCACAACGGGAATTATCTACAGGCTGCTGGGTAGTGAGTCTGAAAGGTATTCTATGAACGATAGCGGGATGAATTCAGCTTTGACTGTCAGTATTCGCCATTTCTAATGTTCCACTCAACTCTAAGGTTAAGATGGTTACTTTTTGGTTGGTTGTTTAACGCCGCACTCAGCAATATTCCAGCAAAATAACGTCTGTCTGTAAATAATCGAGTATGGACCAGACAATCAAGTGATCAACAGCATGCGCATCGATCTACGTAACTGGGATACGATGACATTGGTCCACCAAGTCAGCAAGCATGACCACCCGATCCCGTTAGTCGCCTCTTACGACAAGCATGGTTACTGAAGATCAATTCTAACCTGGATGTTCATTAGATATGTGTGATTAATCGCAACTAGGCTTCATAATGTATTGCGACTGTAATAATTAACCTTAAGTATTTTGCATATACATATATGTCATAACTTTGCATGTCATAAAAAAACGAAGCCAAATATGGATATAAACCATACAAATCTCATATTTTTTTGGCAAAATTTTATAATAGTTTGATTTTATCTTTACTTTTTAAAATAGAAAAGTCTCTTAATCATTCCTATTTTCATCTGTCTAGTTTTTGTTTGGTGTCAAAGGTTCAAGATAGAGCCGCTAGGAGGGTCTGTCCAGGTCAGAGTTAGTCCTTGCGACACGCCAGGTCAAGGGGACTGCATCAACTACGAGCGTCGACGTCGTTACGACTTCACCATTGTTGCCACTGATGAGAACGAGTCACCCCTGGGTCGGCGAGGAACGGCACAACTTGTCATCCATGTCATCGACGTGAACGACGTCGCACCAGTGTTTACACTAAATTCCTATGTGGGCGATATAAAAGAAGGAGAACGCCTACTGGTGAACGAAGTGCGTGTAAAGGTATGTACCTCATTATATCTTTTACCTGCACCTACTAAATTCATGTAACTGATTTCGCATCGCACTTTTTCGTTATTTCAAAAACGAGAAACTACTACCATAAATACATTTGGTTAAAACAGAATTTAGTCCCTGCTTCGAATATTACTTTTGATTTAAAATATTTTTTATAATCTTTCATTTGTTTTCCCTCAAAATTTCCGGTTTTAATTGTAATCAAAATATCAAAAATTTCGAGTTTTTAAACAAACTTAAACTAATGTGAAAATAATACAAATTACGAAAATCTCACCGGAGTTAAGTAAGAATAAAAAAACCGACATTTCGAAAAAATGAACAACTAATTTAAATAACGAGAAATGTCTGTTTAAAAGACACCATGCTACCATCAGACTTTCCTACATTGTGGGACCTCTTTACACTTTGTGCATCTTGATTATTGCTTGTAAAACGTCGCCGCGATCAGCTGCAACATTGCCGATGCTGCGTTAAGCAATATTCACTCACTCACTCCTTGTAAAACTGGTTTACCTTTCAGGCTGAAGATACAGATTCTGTGGGGACAATAACCTACACCCTAGCAACATCCCCGGGATCACAGTACTGGAACATCCACCCTGTTACAGGATTAGTTACTGCCACAGAGGCCATTTTCAGACGCTTCACACCAGGGGATCAAGGATGGTGAATTTTGATTCTTTGATGAATTCTTAAATTGTGGAAACTGGCTGATTATTTAAACACCAGACTCGATCCTTAAACCTTCCACTATATTAAAACATGGACACAATCACTATTTGTTTGATCGGCATTCTATAAGTTAGTGAATGTATTTCCCTATTTTGACTTGTATCACACGTTGCCATGGTTGTTTAGGCAAACAATTGAATAGCCTTTACTTTTTGCTTATGATGGGTGCTACCTAGAGCATGTTAGGCTCGCCGTCGTATTCTTTATGATACAGTCATCGTATACAATCATACAAAGAAAGTACCAGAAACAAATCCGTAATTGAGGCGTAATTTTGAGAAATGTCGGATTCCTTAATATATCTTAAATCATTCGGAACACACCACAGACAAGAACAAATATATACCTCGGCGTTTTGTATTGTTTTTAAAATTTGATTTAGAAAAAGTTTACTGCTAAGGGTAAAATACTTTTTTTTTGTCAATACTGTTTTAGATTTGATTTGTTGTTTTGTTTCTGAGAACCATGATTGTCTTGTAGGTTCCAGCTGATTGTGCTTGCAAACGACACCGTCAACAGAGTACAGACGGACGTCAGAATCAACGTCATTGTGAGTAACACATAGTAGATGGACTTGCTGCAACATATCAATATTGTGTTTTGTATGGCAGAATACAGCACAATAATTCTCAAAATCAGATACACTTTGGTTGCAATTTTTTAAATGTATCAAACTATTGGTCACAAAGCACGTGAGCAACGTGATCCGATTTAAGCGAGTGGGTGAGTTTAGTTTTACGCCGCTTTTAACAGTATTACAGCAATATCACGGCGGGTGACACCAGAAATGGGCTTCACACATTGTACAAATGTGGGGATCGAACCCGGGTCTTCGGCGTGACGAGCGAACGCTTTAACCACTAGGCTAGCTCTCCGATTTAAGTATACCCCTGGGTCTGTACCCGGGGAGAAAGAATAATCATATATTAAGCTCGTATCCCTATGCACGAAATACACCCGACTGAGCAGTTACGAATGACCTAGAAATATACAAATATTTGTATGTAATCCTAGAAGGGACCTTGTCGCCCGTACAAAAACCAGGTAAAAGTGACCAAATTAACCAAAGCGTCACAATGCAACAAATGGCCAAAATGTCGCGTTGTCCGACTTCGGATCAGGAGGTCCGTGGTTCGAATCCAAATTTTATGGCCGCTACCTTAGCGCCCAAGTTTCATGCAGATTGTCCTTTCCGTTTATTTCAGGATCAGAATAATTTCGCCCCGAGATTCATCCTGCCTATGTACTACACAGCTATTCCAGAAGAAACAAGGGGAGGTAAGGAACAGTGCTGATATCTGCATGCTATAGTTACATGTTGATTCCCAAGTTGAAATGTGCAGTGACAAAATCTGTAGAGAATGCGTCACGGTGTAGCTCTTACTACAGTTATTCTACAGCGACACAATTAGCATTTGCAATGTTTTGTTTCCTGACCGCCCCAGGATCCGCCTGTCGAGAGAGTTCTAACCCGACTATGGTTTATCAGCGCCCATGGCAATGCTGGTGCGTTTGTAACAGTAGTAGTCGCCAGATACGACTCATCACCTTCATTCAACACAAAGGTGGCACCCCTGGAAATACTGTTGACATGGGTTAGTGTCATCTCACACATTTACTCTGCTACTTTCCATTGACAGGGTTCTTCGTTGTCAGAGTGGAAGCTACGGATCAGGACTCGAGTCGGTCCGTAAACGGCCGGGTTGAGTACAGCATCGAGGAAGGTGCACAGGACAAGTTCGTCATGGACAATGGAAGTATTCACACATCCACAAACGCCGCCTTTGACTACGACATACAGAACCAATACATGCTCAGAGTAAGACAGGCCACAATTCTCATACCTTGTTGTTAAATGCCACACTCAGCACTATTCCAGCTATATGGTGGCAGTCTGTAAGTAATCGAGTCTGGACCAGACAATCCAGTGACTGATATCATGAACATCGATCTACGCAATTGGGATGCGATGACGTCAACCAAGTCCACCCGATCCCGTTAGTCGCCTCTTACGACAAGCATATTATGTTGCTGAAGATCAATTCTATCCCGGATCTTCACGGGTTATTTCTTATACAAAATTAGTAGACACCTAACCTAAACGGCACAATGTATTGTCTAATCTGTTCCATCGTGGTCAGACCAATATGGACAAGGTTTGTAATGACGTTTCATTTCTGTTTATTGGAAGAAAATATATTTAAAAAGTCAATTTAAAACTCGTATTTGTCTTTAAGGAAGTACTGTGTCTTCCTCTCCTCGGTCACAAACTCCCATGACAAGTATTAGCAATGGTCTGTCTCACAGTCCCTGGACCACATTATTTTCCCTACTGCCTAGCCCTCACTGCAATGCTGAAGCCCTGAAGCAAGTCTAGATTTCCCCAGGTTCAGGTCTCTGAATCTCCCAACTCACTGGGGCTCCATTTCAATTTAAATGAGTTTATTTGTTAATATCAAAATTATATATATTCAGAGACTAAACGTTAGTCTACGGAAGGAACTACATTTGGTATTGACATCAACTCATGCAACGGATGGATCAGGGCCACATTCGTTGTATAACCCTCTGACCATTGATGGAGATACAATATGTTCAAAACACAATAAGATTTTGCTTAACAAGGGAACGTTTCTTCTGTGAAGGTACTGGCACGCGACGGTGGAAATCCTCAGAAGACTGGAACGATATCGGTGACGATCAGCATCATCGATGAGAACAATAAACTACCTTACTTTACGTCATTGGTGCAATTTGCAGAAATAAGCGAGAGTGAGTATTTGTAGCTTTCCTTTACAGCACATCTCTAAAGGTTAAGATGAAGGACAGAAGTTTGTTTGAAGTCGATGTACTTTAACATCGGCAATATGTTCGATGCAATCCAACTCATGGTGTCTACTTCCTGCATGGGAGGTAACCTGACTGGGTTCCGTCTAAGCGAAATGGGCATAGCTAAAATAATGTTCAACTAATAATGTTTGTTTTAGACATACTATGTATTACACAACTCACTTAATTGATGCACTGTATGATGAACCCATGAAAATCCGGGTTAGAATTGATCTTCAGTAACCCATGCTTGTCGTGAGAGGCGACTAACGGGATCGGGTACCTGGTCAGGGTCGCTGACTTGGGTGACACATATCATCGTATCCCAATTGCGCAGATCGATGCGCATGCTGTTGATCACTGGATTGTCTGGTCCGGACTCTATTATTTACAGACCACCGCCATATAGCAGGAATATTGGTGAGTGCGGCGTATAACTAGACTCACTAAGAGTATGATGAAACAACATTAACTGTATCTTAGATATGTAAAATCAAAACGTTTTCCTGAAGGTTTCTTTTACCGAATAACCTGCAGTCACACGCACATTCTGATTGGTTTGGAAAAATAAATTCGCAAACATTTTTCAACGATAGGGGTATAAGTTCCACTTCACTCTCCCTTATATGCAGATGCTCAGAAGGGGGAGTATGTCACAACAATCCTTGCAAAAGATCCAGACAAAGATGCAAAGCTAAATTTTTCGCTGGTTGAAGAAATAAAAGCAATATCACCAGATGGACTAAACGTTGATCCAAACGTTTATTATTTCAAGGTGAGTTGTATACTCCACTACTATCCTTTCAAGGTGAGTTGTATAGTCCACTACTATCCTTTCAAGGTGAGTTGTATAGTCAACTACTATCCTTTCAAGGTGAGTTGTATAGTCAACTACTATCCTTTCAAGGTGAGTTGTATAGTCAACTACTATCCTTTCAAGGTGAGTTGTATAGTCCTTTCTCCACTACTATCCTTTCAAGGTGAGTTGTATAGTCAACTACTATCCTTTCAAGGTGAGTTGTATAGTCAACTACTATCCTTTCAAGGTGAGTTGTATAGTCCACTACTATCCTTTCAAGGTGAGTTGTATACTCCACTACTATCCTTTCAAGGTGAGTTGTACTATCCTTTCAAGGTGAGTTGTATAGTCAACTACTATCCTTTCAAGGGTGAGTTGTATAGTCCACTACTATCCTTTCAAGGTGAGTTGTATAGTCAACTACTATCCTTTCAAGGTGAGTTGTATATATCCTTTCAAGGTGAGTTGTATACTCCACTACTATCCTTTCAAGGTGAGTTGTATAGTCAACTACTATCCTTTCAAGGTGAGTTGTATAGTCAACTACTATCCTTTCAAGGTGAGTTGTATAGTCAACTACTATCCTTTCAAGGTGAGTTGTATAGTCAACTACTATCCTTTCAAGGTGAGTTGTATAGTCAACTACTATCCTTTCAAGGTGAGTTGTATAGTCAACTACTATCCTTTCAAGGTGAGTTGTATAGTCAACTACTATCCTTTCAAGGTGAGTTGTAGTTGTATAGTCAACTACTACAAGGTGAGTTGTATTCAACTACTATCCTTTCAAGGTGAGTTGTATATCCTTTCAAGGTGAGTTGTATACTCCACTACTATCCTTTCAAGGTGAGTTGTATAGTCAACTACGATCCTTTCAAGGTGAGTTGTATAGTCCACTACTATCCTTTCAAGGTGAGTTGTATACTCGAAAGTTGCTTCCTACAGACTAAAATCCTTTGGCTACAGGACGTTCTCTCACATCGCCCCAGTGCTCTGGAATACTCTTCCATCTGACGTCAAACTTTGTCCCACTTTTGAACTGTTCAAATCAAGACTGAAAACACACCTGTTCTCTCTTTTCTGCTTACCTTCCTATCAAATTCAAATCTCTATTCCATACTGTTAACGTTATTTTGTAGCGCCTTGAGCAGGCTTTATGTCTGGATTGTGCGCATTACAAATGCACTTTATTATTATTATTATTATTATTTTTATTATTATTATTATATTTGTGAGTGGTTCAAAACTCAAAATGTTTTCTGTGACACCAACATTACCACCCAAAATTTTGCAGAGTGTATGGGCCTGTGTGTATGCTTAGAAGTAATTGATTTAGGTGTACATTACACGACCTGATGATATTCAATGACCATTTGACCAAACTGTTTAACTTACAGGACTTGTTTCAACTGGACTCCACTTCTGGTGTAGTGCGCGTTAATGCAACGCGTCTCGATCGTGACCTCACCTCCGTGATCACGTACACCATGACAGTCACGGACGTATCTCAGACTGGAAGGCCACAGACTGGAACACGTAAGATTTGTTTCCAGAAAAGTCCAACACATCAAAGCCTCCGAAATGTCGTGTGTTATCGTGGGGGTTGGTAACCTATTGTGACTAAAGTATTATCATGATCACACTCGAATCCCGAAATGGTTCCAGTCTTGAGTGCGAAAGTACACCACTATTATATCATTGTGATTATTATTATTATTATTATTATTGTCTGTTACAGCGGGTATACTGATTATCCGAATCAGGGAATATAACGACCAGTCCCCCGCGTTTCTACAGTCCAGATATGATCTTGTTGTTGAAGAGGAGCAGTCTATCGGAACCTTCATCACTGCTCTTGTAGCACAGGACGCTGACGACGCCATTGCACGTTACGACATCGTCGAGAGGGAGCAGAACCTGTTCAGCATCATTTCGGAAACAGGTAATTCATGCGATTTGCTTCCTCTACCTGTATTCCATGAGCCAGACAATTTTTCCGTACCACTCACCAAACACTTTTATGATTTTTTGAAGTGGTTATGGTCTCTAAATATAATAAAAATGTATGATGGCCATGTCGGTTTGGTAGCTCAAACTCAGAACGAGGCTAAAGCCAAGATGGCCGCCACAAAACCCCAAATAGTGCAGTCACCCTTGTACTTTAGTTTGGAAGTAGAGTTTGTATGTAGTTGCTGGACCAAATACTTACAGAAGATATGGTTTGCTGAGTCGGGTTTCTCTCGTAGCCTTGGTAGTACAAAGAGACATGTTAGTGGATGTCATGACAAATAATGTTTACAGTTTCCCCAAACTATTTATGGGATATATTGCATGTCGTGAAAAAATATCATTGTTCTTGAAATTTAAGCAAATTCTGTTTAAATATATTGATATCCATCAGGTGTACTGACTGTACGGAATAGAATTGACTACGAACGAATCGAACAGACTCAGTTCACGGTCCGGGCCTTTGACAGTGGTGTACCTCAACGCTCTGGCACAGCGCAGGTGTTTGTCACAATCGTCAACACAAACGACAACAGCCCCATACCAAGTCAGGTCAGTCCCTCCTTGCTCACTTGCTCACTCACTCACTCACTCACTCACTCGTTCACTCATGGCGGAGTAAAACAATTGTAATTGATTCAGCACTGTGTTGCTGCTTTGTGGATATCGTATCGTTTAAGTACCCATGTGGGGAATCGTGACGAGCGAACGCTTTAACCCACTAGGCTACCCCACCGCCCTGTGGTGATTCGAGGTAACTAAGATACTTAAAGAAAGATGTGCAATAATCGAAGTGAATGGATGAAGATGAGTGTCTCTGTGAAACGTTTCCATATCACGTCAATTCGGTCATGATGTAGTTTGACATATGTATGTATACAGAACACCTATCAAGTGAACGTCGCGGAAAACGCCACCGGGGGAACGAGCCTCCTTCAGGTGTTCGCCAGGGACATAGACAAGGGAGACTACGGTAATGTCAGGTTCGAGCTGCCGAAAGACATCACTAGGTTCACGATTGACCCCTTCTCGGTGAGTGCCGTCATATCAACAAGTAAATCATCCTTTGTATCTCACTCCCGTCGTTTGTAACTCGTGTTCTGATTGCTATGTTAGACCTAGTATTGCAGCCAATAAAGTTGGCAAATGGCAATCAAGAGGTCTAACGTACCAATGAAAATACGAGTTACAAACCAGAATCAAAGCGGAGCTGGCAATATCTACAATCATTCCCTTATGTTTATGTTTGATTGGTGGGTAAAAACGCAGAAATTAGAGAGCTCGTATATGTGAACATGCTTTATGTGATAACTCCCTTAATCTTGACAGGATAAGTAAACAAAGGGGACACAACTCCCTTTTCAGAATTACGTCCCTTACCTGACAATATTTTGTATTTGATTCGAATTTGCCCCAATTTTGTTAAAATTATATTACTGCTCAGACTGGCGCTATTGGGTGTGATGTCCATGGCTCAAGGGGTTCGGCTGGATCGTGAGGTGGAACCTGTGATACCAGCTACTGTTGTTACTGTATTGTTATGTTACAGGGTGTGATGTCCATGGCTCCAAGGGTTCGGCTGGATCGTGAGGTGGAACCTGTGATACCAGCTACTGTTGTTACTGTATTGTTATGTTACAGGGTGTGATGTCCATGGCTCCAGGGGTTCGCCTGGATCGTGAGGTGGAACCTATCATAGCTACCCGCGTTAATGTGTATGACAGCCCCAATGATGAAACTGTTCGCAGGCGGTACAGCGTACCGGTACGTCAATCCTGCACACTTTAAGCATATTACTATACTAGCCACATAAAGAAACTGTGTTCACAGAAAATGCCTTCATAATTGGAATACAACACAGCAAAGACGAAATGATGTAGACACGTTATAAGCTGAAGTATCTGAAAATGTCAAAAGAACATAAACAATATCCGTAACGATGACGTCAGAAGTTCAACATCGAGTAGGGGGTTACACGACGAAGTCACAAGGTCAATAACGGGTATGACCACCGTGTGCGTGAAGCACAGCAGTGCATCGAAGACGCATAGAGGCTAGTAAATGAGCATTGAAGGACTGGGGAATGGTCTGGGACGTGGTCACTGCTGTCTGGAACCTGTATCTGAGATGAGTCACCCGAATCCATCTGTCCTGTCTTGGCGTCGTTACGTTGGGAACGCCCAGAACGTGGGTGGTCGGCGAGGTCATTACTGTTTCGGTAACGCCTGACCCATGCAGATATCGTGTTACGATGGCATTGGAAATGTGCTGCCACCTGTTGTTGGCTCATTCCTGCTCGAACCATTCCAATGGCTTCATGACGTTGAGCAGATGTTAATCTTGGCATGCTGTGCATGTGACTTCTCATGTAAATTGGTGAACGTTTGAATGACCAAAGATCAAGCTTTCGACAGTGACAGCAATTTCAGAGTTTCACATGTTGTGTGCATCTGTACGGGCTGCACGTGCAGTAACATATTGCAAGGCCTTAGGCCACCGTCAATGACGCTGTGTGCCTTTATTTATATTTTCTGTGTGCACAGTTTCTTTATGTGGACAGTATATGCATAAATGAACGCCAATACTATATTGTCAAGCTGAATACTGTACACGCATAGACGTTGATGGCTATACATATATGAAACTGAACAATGCACACGCTTGTACGTGAACACAACACTCGTTATTTTGAAATCCTTGTTTGCCATGTTCACGAAAGTAGCTATTCGTGTGTCTAGAATGAAGACCCATGACTCTCACTCTCAAATGATAAAGAAATCATTGCTCTATATATTTTAGCAGGTCAGTTTTTGTCTGTTCTTATATCAATACTATTATGGGCGGGCGACGTCAAGTGATATTGAATGCTGCTACGGGGTCTACAATCACAATGAATGAAATCAGTTTAGGTTAAATATGTATTTTCGAATATCATAAGGAAATGATCGCTCTAAGGTCTCAGAAACTCCTGGATCCTCTCCTCTGATCTTTGGCACCAGCACCAGTTTTTTGTAGCTTTCCCCTGCACTCGATCTCACCTTACCAGCGTTGTTTGAGTAAGCCATAGTGTCTCTCATTGCTTACATAGGTGAGGTGGGGTAGCCTCATGGTTAAAGCGTTCGATCGTCACGCAGAAGACCCGGGTTCGATTCCCAATATGGGTACAATGCGTGAAGCCCATTTCTGGTGTCCCCTGCCGTGATATTGCTGGAATATTGCTAAAAGCGGCGTAAAACCCAACTCAATATCTCACTCACCCATTGCTTACACTGTGACTGTTACCTGCTATCTCACAGTCTGTCTCATGTTGAAGGTCTACGTGTCCGTGTTGGACATCAACGACAACTACCCGGTGTTCAGCAGTAACGAATACCTGTCTGCAGAGATCATCGAGTCTATAGACATCGGTGCCCCGATCTTCCAAGTGTTCGCTACAGACAGGGACTTCGGCCTCAACGCACAGATAGTTTTTCGGAAGGTTGCCGGCTCTGGGGACCCTGATGGTAGGTTCTGGAACAACAGGATAGTCATACTTGCATACAGTTGGCTCGCAGCATCAGCAACTCTACAGTTCCGAGTAACCTCGCTCGTATTATTCGTATTATTCCAAATCGCGAAGATCGATGCTCATGCTGTTGATCACTGTCAGGTCCAGACTCGATTATTTACAGAGCGCCACCATATTGCTGTTATATAGTTGAGTGTGGCGTTAAACAGCAACCAACTCTTTCTATGACGGCAGTATTGTTGGTGTCAAAGATTTAGATGAAGACGATGAACAACGTCCAAAGAACATACCGATCTACCATGTCCAAGAGGTTGGCAGCCTGGAGGAACACCAGATTGGATTTCCATTATACAATGATAATGTATGAGCCCCATTCCCGGAGTTCTCCGATGTGATATGGCTGGATTAAAGTTTTGTAAAACCGTACTTACTACTGTACTGACATTAAGGTGCCTTCTTTAGGAAACAGGGGTATACTGCGTGTGTCTGTAACATCTCGCTTGCCTTTATGTTTATTAATCAGAATTTTCGTGAGCAAGATCTGTTCCCTTCCGTGATAAAACATAGGTAGACTTATCGTCATTGCAGGTCTCTTCGGTGTGAGACCGCAGTCTGGACAAATCCTTGTTGAAAGGAGCCTTCGAGGGCGCATTGGAGTACACACTTTCAATGTGTCGGCTACTGACCGAAACGGCGGCCCAGATGGCTTGAAGGGTTATTCCCGCATCGTCATCACTGTAGTGGAGTCCCTTAACTCTGCACCCGTGTGGATTATCCCAGCCAATGACAACATGACAATAGAAGTACTGGAGGTGAGAGTTATCTATCTTACATGAGAATATATTATTGGTGCCAATATAGACACTCTATAACATGACAATAGAAGTACTGGAGGTGAGGGTTATCTATCTTACATGAGAATAAATTATTGGTGCCAATATAGACCCTCTATAACATGACAATAGAAGTACTGGAGGTGAGGGTTATCTATCTTACATGAGAATATATTATTGGTGCCAATATAGACCCTCTATAACATGACAATAGAAGTACTGGAGGTGAGGGTTATCTATCTTACATGATAATATATTATTGGTGCCAATATAGACCCTCTATAACATGACAATAGAAGTACTGGAGGTGAGAGTTATCTATCTTACATGAGAATATGTTATTGGTGCCAATATAGACACTCTATAACATGGCAATAGAAGTACTGGAGGTGAGGGTTATCTATCTTACATGAGAATAAATTATTGGTGCCAATATAGACCCTCTATAACATGACAATAGAAGTACTGGAGGTGAGGGTTATCTATCTTACATGAGAATATATTATTGGTGCCAATATAGACCCTCTGTAACATGACAATAGAAGTACTGGAGGTGAGGGTTATCTATCTTACATGATAATATATTATTGGTGCCAATATAGACCCTCTATAACATGACAATAGAAGTACTGGAGGTGAGGGTTATCTATCTTACATGAGAATATATTTACTTGTGACAATGTAGAGCTTCTATAACATGTCAGTATAAGTACTGGAGGTGAGGGTTATCTATCTTACATGACAATATATTTACTTGTGACAATGTAGAGCCTCTATAACATATCAGTATAAGTACTGGAGGTGTGGGCTGTCTATCTTACATGACAATGTAGAGCCTCTATAACATGTCAGTATAAGTACTGGAGGTGTGGGCTGTCTATCTTACATGACAATGTAGAGCCTCTATAACATGTCAGTATGTCAGTATAAGTACTGGAGAGCCTCTATAACATGTCAGTATAAGTACTGGAGGTGTGGGCTGTCTATCTTACATGACAATGTAGAGCCTCTATAACATGTCAGTATAAGTACTGGAGGTGTGGGCTGTCTATCTTACATGACAATGTAGAGCCTTTATAACATGTCAGTATAAGTACTGGAGGTGAGAGTTATCTATCTTACATGACAATGTAGAGCCTTTATAACATGTCAGTATAAGTACTGGAGGTGAGAGTTATCTATCTTACATGACAATGTAGACCCTCTATAACATGACAATAGAAGTACTGGAGGTGAGGGTTATCTATCTTACATGAGAATATATTATTGGTGCCAATATAGACCCTCTATAACATGACAATAGAAGTACTGGAGGTGAGGGTTATCTATCTTACATGATAATATATTATTGGTGCCAATATAGACCCTCTATAACATGACAATAGAAGTACTGGAGGTGAGAGAGAGTGTTAGCCAATATAGACACTCTATAACATTACATGAGAATATCTTATGAGAATCTTACATGAGAATAAATTATTGGTGCCAATATAGACCCTCTATAACATGACAATAGAAGTACTGGAGGTGAGGGTTATCTATCTTACATGAGAATATATTATTGGTGCCAATATAGACCCTCTGTAACATAACAATAGAAGTACTGGAGGTGAGGGTTATCTATCTTACATGATAATATATTATTGGTGCCAATATAGACCCTCTATAACATGACAATAGAAGTACTGGAGGTGAGAGTTATCTATCTTACATGAGAATATATTTACTTGTGACAATGTAGACCCTCTGTAACATGACAATAGAAGTACTGGAGGTGAGGGTTATCTATCTTACATGACAATATATTTACTTGTGACAATGTAGAGCCTTTATAACATGTCAGTATAAGTACTGGAGGTGAGAGTTATCTATCTTACATGACAATGTAGAGCCTTTATAACATGTCAGTATAAGTACTGGAGGTGAGAGTTATCTATCTTACATGACAATGTAGACCCTCTATAACATGACAATAGAAGTACTGGAGGTGAGAGTTATCTATCTTACATGAGAATATGTTATTGGTGCCAATATAGACACTCTATAACATGACAATAGAAGTACTGGAGGTGAGGGTTATCTATCTTACATGAGAATAAATTATTGGTGCCAATATAGACCCTCTTTAACATGACAATAGAAGTACTGGAGGTGAGGGTTATCTATCTTACATGAGAATATATTATTGGTGCCAATATAGACCCTCTGTAACATGACAATAGAAGTACTGGAGGTGAGGGTTATCTATCTTACATGACAATATATTTACTTGTGACAATGTAGAGCCTCTATAACATATCAGTATAAGTACTGGAGGTGTGGGCTGTCTATCTTACATGACAATGTAGAGCCTCTATAACATGTCAGTATAAGTACTGGAGGTGTGGGCTGTCTATCTTACATGACAATGTAGAGCCTCTATAACATGTCAGTATAAGTACTGGAGGTGAGAGTTATCTATCTTAGATGACAGTGTAGAGCCTCTATAACATGTCAGTATAAGTACTGGAGGTGAGAGTTATCTATCTTACATGACAGTGTAGAGCCTCTATAACATGTCAGTATAGGTACTGGAGGTGAGAGTTATCTATCTTACATGACAGTGTAGAGCCTCTATAACATGTCAGTATAGGTACTGGAGGTGAGAGTTATCTATCTTACATGACAATGTAGAGCCTCTATAACATGTCAGTATAAGTACTGGAGGTGAGAGTTATCTATCTTACATGACAATGTAGAGCCTCTATAACATGTCAGTATAAGTACTGGAGGTGAGAGTTATCTATCTTACATGACAATATGTTATTGGGTTCAGCGTAGACCCTCTATAACATGACAATAGATCGAAGTACTTGAGGTAAGGGTTAACTATATTAAAAGGACAATATATATTATTGGTGCCAATGTGGACCCTCTATAACAATACGACAATGGAAGTACATTAGCTCCTATATCATACAATAATACTGATTACTACGTCTTGACCGAAATTACTGCGTCATTACACATTTAAACCTCTATTAGCAACCCCTGTACAAATGTTGAAAAAACCCGCCGTAGTGTTATACGGATTAAGGGGTTTCTAATCTTTAACGCTGAAAGGTTCCTTACAATGAATTCCTGTTCATTTTGTCGTCGCAGAGCCAATACCTGGGTTTGCTGGTATTTGACGCGCACGCAGATGACAACAACAGCGGCCGCAACGGCATCGTGGAATACTACTTTCAAGACGGCAGCGCCATTGTCTCCAACACAGGGGAGTTCAGCATCAATCGAGTGACTGGGGTCATCAGAGCAGAAATTGTTTATGACCGCGAAACAGTGGACCGATACACGGTATGATCCTTGTTAACTGAAGGGTGCGTATTCAGACATCTAATCACGGGACGTACTACCACGAAGGATCAACAGTTGCCTCCCTCATACATCAGTGGGAAGTTGATGAAATATATATACTGAGTCAAAAAAGAAACTTCACATTCTTTCTTCAGGGCACTATAAAAGAACACGAGATGGTAAGATGGTTAAATTGTTATTATTTCATTGCTGAGATTTGTGTGATGTACTCGATAAACTGACAGTGCCATAATCAGTTCCATTAGGCTACACCGCCGTTCCAAAACATGGGTATACAGAATGTCAAGTCACAAGAATAAAAATGCGAAGTTTCTCAGTTCAATATTGTGTGTGGCCGCCCCGCGCATTCACCACTGCCAAACACCGTCTCCTCATCGACTGCCTGATGCTTGTGAACACGTGGTTGGGGATTCTGCGCCATTGCTCTTGCAAGGCAGCGCCAAGTTCCTGCAAATTCTGAGGTTGGTTCCTAAGACCACGAAGCCTTCTCCCAAGTGCCTCCCAAACGTGCTCTATTGGATTAAGGTCAGGGGACCTCGATGGCCAGTCCATGACGTTGATTCCATCGTTTTGAAGGAAATTTCGTGTCAACATCGCGGTATGCGGCCGAGCATTATGCTGGAACTGTAGACCTGGGCCAAGAACCGCCATGAAAGGAACGAGTTCAGGGGTGAGCACCTGGTCGCGGTAAGCAGCAGCTGTGAGGTTTCCACGGATGACCAGAAGTCGGGAAAGGGTTGTTCCCACAGAAAGCACCACACACCATGCAACTTCCGCCCCCGAATCTGTCGACTTCCTGTACACAACATTGGGCATACCGTTCACGACGTCGTCTCCAGACTCTATGCCTGCCGTCCGCGAATCTGAGGATAAACCTAGATTCATCGCTAAAGACGACTCGATTCCAGTCTCTCTGGGTCCATCGGAGGTGACGTTGGGCCCACAGCAGACGTTGACGTTGATGAAACGGCGTCAATATTGGCCCACGATATGGACGTCGAGAATGGAGATTGGCAGCCCGCAACCGATTTCGAATGGTCTGTGAGGACAGTCGTCCTCTAAACATCTCAGCCCTGGTTCGTGTAGCCGGCAGAAATCTGTCACGTAGGTGACGTAGGACGATTTGACGGTCTTCTGCTCGTGACGTCACACGTGGACGACCCGACCTTGGGCCATCAGAAGTGGTGCCAGTTTGTTGTAGACGACCTCGCAAGTCATACACAGTACGACGGCTGCATCCCATTGCTCTTGCGACGTCAATAACTGATCTTCCCGCTTGCAACATGCCACCGGCACGTTCACGTTGCACATTTGACAATCGTGGCATTTAAAGTACCGTTAGAACTGTGGTTTAAAAGTGTTTTTTCAATTCTTGAGGCCAATGCAAACACGTGCATATGATGAAAACTTCGATGCGAAGATCACGTGATCGACTGCACATGCAAAACCTGATTTGGCACTAACGTCATTTGCACGACGAATGGATTGGTTTGAGTGGGTTTTGCTAACGTTTTTCTAGAGTCGAAAGATAGGGATCCCATTTCGGATACATAGATGTATCATCAGAGAAAATAGTTTCATTATTTTTAAAAATTACATTTTGTGAAGTTTCTTTTTTGACTCAGTATATTTTGTCTTTACTCCAGTCTTTCGACAGAGCAAATGTTAATTTATGATTTTTCTGGACAAATTTTGTATATTATTCTCAATTTTGTCTCTTTTCTCCAGCCATCGCGTATAATTTTGAAATTGGGAATGTTGTATGTCTGTCCTCAAGTGCACCTGTAACACATGTTTGTGGGGGAGAAGAAAAGAAGAGATATGTTATTATTTTTTAAAATATATATTTTCAGTTGATATCTTTGATGACAGCGTGGAATATATGACTACAGAGCTCTTTCTGTATCTTTCCATAGCTTCATCTGATCGCCAAGGACATGGGAGTCGTGTCACTTAGGTCGGAGCGTCATCTGTATGTTAAAATCGCTGATGTCAATGACAACGTGCCCGAATTTCCGAGCAGGGTAGGCAACTTTAATGAACGGTAGATACATAGAGAATCTCACCCAAGTGTCTTCTGATATCAATTATATCAACACTAGTTGATAAAGTTACAAATATCCGAGGCTTGCCGAGTGTTGATATATTTGATATCAGAAGACACGAGGGTGAGATTCTATTTATTGTCCAAAATCACTCTTCATTAATTTTCAATGAAAAATGTACATCTCTGAACATGGTACTGCCATTAGACTTGCAGTGCAGCGATGTCATAGCATTGTGACGTCATCAAGTACATGACGTCATAGCATTGTCAGGGCATTGTACAAAATCTACTGTCAAAACGATGTCTCCTAGGAGATATCGTTTGATCTCACACAAGCGATACCTCCTGTGGAACACAGTTTTGGATGATACAGTCATTTCCTTGGCAATGACACACGTGTCCTTAAAGATCTATAAACATAGTGATATCATGGCAAATGAAGGCCGGTGTCAGTAATTTAAATAGTAAAGAGTATATACAGTAATTCAGTTATGTCTGCAGGTACTTACACTGTGAACACTAGACGATACAGCAATGTGTGCAGGTACTTACACTGTGAACACTAGACGATACAGCAATGTGTGCAGGTACTTACACTGTGAACACAAGACGATACAGCAATGTGTGCAGGTACTTAGACTGTGAACACTAGACGATACAGCAATGTTTCATTGTATTAGAGTGAAATCTCCGTCCATGTTTACAGAATGGGAAAACAATCCCTATGAATATCTTGCTGTGGGAGAACACCACCGTCGGTGCTGCCATTGGGCAAGTGAGGGCAACCGATCGCGACATGGAGTTGCACACGACCATCTACTATTACGTTGTTGGTGAGGCATTGACTCCTATAGGAGAGAGAGAGAGAGAGAGAGAGAGAGAGAGAGAGAGAGAGAGAGAGAGAGAGAGAGAGAGAGAGAGAGAGAGAGAGAGAGAGAGAGAGAGAGAGAGAGAGAGAGAGAGAGAGAGAGAGAGAGAGAGAGGGAGAGAGGGAGTGAGAGTGTCTGAGAGAAGAGAAGGGCAGGAGAGAGAGGGCAGAGAGAGAGAGAATGCAGCAGTAGAAAGAGAGAGAGGCAGAGAGAGAGAAGGGAGAGACAGACAGGAGAGAGAGAGAGAGAGAGAGAGAGAAGAGAGAGAGAGAGGGATCCGAGAGGGCAGAGGGCAGAGAGAGAGAAAGTAAGGGTGTTCCGAGAGCGAGTAGGCAGAGGAAAGAGAGAATGAGAGAAAAGAGAGTAGAGAGACAGAGAAGGAGGGGCAGAGAGAGAGGGGGATGGGGTAGAGAGAGAAGGCAGAGAGAAAGGGTGGGCAGAGAGAGAGAGTAGGCAGAGAGAGAAAGAGTGTGAGAGAGGGAAAGGGCAGCGAGAGAAGGCAGAGAGAGAAAGAGGGGGCAGAAAGAGAACGAGTGAGAGAGGGCAGAGAGAGAGAGAGAATGAGAAACGAATACTAACACTAAAAATACTTTATGTTCTGTGTTTGTCAGTGTCGTGACGGTCAGTGTTTGATCATTTTTCTCCTCAGCCGGAGGTGATGGGAAGTTCGTCGTGGATCAAAATACAGGGTTTATACGGCTCAGCCAGGCAGTGGATCGGGAGATAAAAAGCATTTACTCCTTCGACATCAGGGCCACCAACGATAACATCGACTACCTTCTCTTGACGAACCGTGTCGCCATCGACACCAGCATCATCACGGTCAGGGTGACGTTGCGTGATGTCAATGACAACGCGCCAGTATTTGTAGGATTTAACAGCCTTGATGAAACCAACAAACACTACTTCGGATGTAAGCACCACAATAATCTACAGCAACATTGTGTTTAGCTTGTCACATTTATCAATGCACATTATTTATTTTCGACCGTTCTACTTTGTTTACGGTTTTCACAGAAACGGTTAAGATGAATCTCTTGTTTACAGGGGCATATTTTAGTCTGTTTCACTGAAGTATAAATTGGAAGAAACATCGAACAGCTAAGAATCCACTTTATGGCTACAGAAACATATCGCAAGAATTTCACCCTTGGTATTTAGATGCTTTGTCAATGTGATTTAACAAGTTAGTTTCGGTATTTTGATTTCTTGTAGAATTTATAATTGTTTATTGATATAAGAAACAGTAGACCATGATGGATGATGCAGTTGTCTCCATGAAACTCCATTAGCACATGTGATACATGTGGTCTCACCCAAGGCAAGTGATTTAAAAAAAAATAATATGATTCTGTTCTGCTGTTCACCCAGCAGAAAATGGGTACCTGGTGGGATACGTTATGTGGCTAATAACCTTCTAGCGGTTCACAGGCAGCTTGGGTTATCCAGAGTACTAATAATCAGATTGTGTGTTAGCGCTTTGAGCATATGTGCCTTGTACATAGAAAAGGCGCCTTATAAATTCACATTTATTATTATTGAGATGTGTACAAAGACGTCCCTCAACATCTACCTTCCAGTTATCTCTATGTACGCCCCATTTGACCAGCGTATTTTCCAAGTGACGGCGACCGACGCGGACGCTGCGGGATCGGCTGCCATCACTTACAGCATCATCAGTGGCAACGAAGACGGTTTCTTCGCTGTTGACGTCATCGGGAGAGTGGCGAATAGGCGTCTCTTAACCAATGTGATCATCAGGATTTACTCACTCACAATACAAGCGTTTGACGGCCAGATTGCTTCCACAGCCCCTGCATTTGTTAGTATACCATACGTCGGTGTGATTCTGCTAAAGTTAATACAGGTTGTCTTGGTACAGAAGCCAGAATATCGGGATAAATATTTCCATAACTCTCACTCAGTGTTAGGTTTTTATCTGAGCGGATCAGATAGTTCATAACAAGTGTTCCACAGCTTTCATTTTTTTTCAAAGCGGCCCATAATAAGGCTGTGTTTTTTTGATGACGTTATCCATCGTTCATGACGTCACATAAGGTTTTGGATTCCGAGTGTTGATTGACCAAGCTGATATCTCCCTTGGGCGTAACCTAGTCGTTTAAGCTTTCGCTCATCACGGCGACGACCAGGGTTCGATTCCTCACATTGTTACATTATGTGAAGCCCATTTCTGGGTGAGTGAGTGAGTGAGTTTAGTTTAACGCCACTCAGCAATATTCCAGCTATATGGGGGCGGTCTGTAAATATTCGAGTCTGGCGATTTCTGGTGTCCCTCGCCGTCATATTGCTGGAATGTTGCTAAAAGCGGCGTAAAACTACACCCTCTGACTGCTGTGACAAGCAAAATAGTTTTCCTATTTATCAAAACTTGAAATTCATTTACTCAGAACCGATAAACAGAAATTCCCAATGATTCGCAGCACGTGTAATCATTCATGCGTTTACATATCATACATACTTGAGGAAAACGGGGCAGAGGGATGGCCTAGTGATTAAAGCGTTCGCTTCTCACTCCGAAGACCCGGGTTCGATTCCCCACATGATTACTTAGTAATCTGTGAAACCCATTTCTGGTGTCCCCCGCCGTGATATTGCTGGAATATAGCTGAAAGCGGCGTAAAACCAAACTCACTCACTCACTTAAAGAAAACTATGACAGATGCCTGTCATGTCAGTTGTAGAATATGTCGTAGAGGTGTTGTCAGGTACCTGACATCAGTAATGTATGTTTTTAAGGTGTTCGTCACAAATGCTGGGAACCACGTAAAAATGGTCATCAACCTGCAAACGTCAGAGGTGGAAATCTTCAGGTCACAAATCATAAGGTATGACTGCTAACAACATGTTTGTTTCTTGTTTAACGCCACACTCAGCAATAGGGCCTGTCAGTCTCGCGAGGCGCTACTTCCGGTACTAAGCTGGTTCCCGGCTCCCTTTGCGCACGCCAACTTGCGATATGCGAGACGGGGCCCAGCTTACTTCCGGTACCAGATTTCAGGTGACAAGCGTATATATTCAAGACCCAGTTCTGGTTCCAAATTGCGCGACCGGACCAAGGGTACAACCATGCTTGTCTGCCACAGTTGTTATCAGTCGTAATAGTTGGCTTATTTGGGGATGGTTAGATCGGAAATTTGTTATTCCTACAAGGATTATAGGTTCTTTACTGCCGACAGCCATGAGACCATTAGAAAAGGTATGAAACGTTGTTTGTAACCGGAAGGTCTGGCAAAGTGCCGTGACCTATTTACGGGCCCTATACTCTAGCAATATGACGGCGATTTGTAAATAATCAATTCTGGACCAGACCATCCAGTGATCAACGTCATAAGCAAAGATCGGACCACCCGATTGCGTTAGTCGCCTCTTACGACCAACTCTAACCCGCATCTTCACAGGTGGCCAACAATATGTTTATGAGTTCTGCGTAATACCAGTTTCGAAATTCCCGGCGGCTCTTAACCAAGGCACATTATATACTACCCATCAAAAGTTTAGACTCACTAGTTTAAATGTAGCCATTTACTTCAGTCAACTGTTCTAATCTAGATTTTGAAAATATTCCATACTGTTTATAGGTACTGTTTACACATGAACTGATGTATTGTAAAATAAATTGTAATGTTGAAACGATTATTGTCATGAGTTCAATAAACGATAAAAATCAAGGAAATTGGCGAAATCTTAACAAAACTTTACACCAAAACGCAGCTGTTCACATGCACGATATTTGCACATGCTTTTCAGCAATTTGATCCATGATCCTCGTACAATTCATCTGCATAAAGTTTGCAGGTGGTTCCCCCGGAGAAAGTGGAAAAATTCATCTCCAATGTAACCACATATATATACATAACATATAGCGAGACAGTGCTTTAAGTGAGTCTAACCTTCTGACGGGTAGTATATATGTCATTTCTATAAATTAGTCGAGGAAGTCTCACTATGAACTGAAATCCCTGAGGTTACGTGGGTCGTGTTGCACCACTCAAGACTGCTAGTCCCCTCGCGACCCATCTAACTGATGATAACGTTTCCACCGTTGTAACTTGACATTAAACATGGGTCCTTTTTGTCTGTTGCAGTCTTCTCATGTCTCTGCCTGGTATAAGTCATGCTGGTATTGTCAGTATCACAAATCACATGGGCGGACAAGTAGTGGATGCCAGGAGGTAAGTGACACACTCACGTCCACCAGAGCACACGCATGCACGCACTCACACACGCGTGCATATATGTATGTATGTATATATGTACCGGAATTTCCCGTATTTAAGCCCACTCGAAATTACGCCCATGGGCTTAAACACGGGATTGTTTCCCGTGATTAAGCCCATGGGCCTATATTAAGATTTCAAATTGTATTGTTTAGAGTGACGTCCCTTTGCAAAAGCACATGGCGAACGTCAGCATATATAACGTTTGTAGTGCAGTTAGAGGTTTTCACGTGTATAGAACGTTTCGGAGTCCCATGCTGGGTCAGGTACTCTATTCTCAAATAGACAATCTCAATCCATGTATGTATGTATGTATGTATGTATGTATGTATGTATGTATGTATGTATGTATGTATGTATGTATGTATGTATGTATGTATGTATGTATGTATGTATGTATGATGTATGTATGTATGTATGTATGTATGTATGTATGTATGTATGTATGTATGTATGTGTATGTATGTATGTATGTATGTATGTGTATGTGTATGTATGTATGTATGTGTATGTGATGTATGTATGTGATGTGATGTTATGTTTTGTTTGTGCGTGTGCGTGTGTGTATGTGTGTGTGTGTGTGTGTCAACAACAAAAGCACTAGAATCTGTACTTACTGAAAGTGTAATCCCAAAGATAACATGTTACATCTGACCACTTTCTAAATGGAATTGTGTATTCAAAGCTTTCGGCCGTGAGAACCGTGCCAATTTTCACTTATAAGAGGTGTACACAAAGTCCGTGGTCTTCACTACCACTTGTCCGACTTCCATGTTTGTGGAAGCCGCGGTTGCTGAGCGAGTTAGGCGGCTGACTTTGTGTGCTGGCGATAAGGTGCCTGACTCTGAGGGTGTGGGTTCGAACCCCGGATGGGACTCAACCCAACAAACGTACTGTGCTTTACTGAGAAAGTCTAATCCCAAATATAACACATGTTACAGGTATATATCTGTCTCTTGTGCTTGACGGGTCCAATAAGTTAGATGACCAATGGACACTCCTATCAAATACCCCAATTTATTATATTCTTAAGGGTGAAATACTGTAAATATTGGTGAAAATAAAAATATTGATGGTATTTTCACTGAGTAGAATAACATGTTATTTCACTGAGTAGAATATCACTTTTGCCTGGAACTACTTTCTGATTAAAGGGGTATGCAGACTTACTCGATGTCTCGATCAATTATAAACAATGATCAAAATATAATATATAGAATATTTTGTTAATGTTGTCAAATAACATGTATATTTCATCTCGTGGTCTGACAAAATTGCGCCACTCGTGAACATATCAACTTTGTCAGACCACTCGATGCAATATACATGTTATTTGACAACATTAACAAAATATCCTCTATATATCCCAATGCATATATTTGATTACGAATCGCAATTAATGATATTCCCAGTTCCACGATGGCTGTAATGGTGTCTACAGCGACATGGTCATTGTTGTAGATCTGACGTTACCGTGGTGGCGGCGGCTGCCGTCCCGACTGGCGGATATACTCTGTTATCAACATCACAACTATTACTTATACTCCAAGAAAAGAGGAGAGCGTCAGTGGCGGTTTTTGACTCCATCTATGTTGAGTCTATTGGGGTAATTCACATTTCTGTCTTCCTCAATTATCCCAGTTAGTTTCGTAGTGTCATATTTTTTATATACGAAAGTGTATGCAATATATATGATATATTCTGACAGCATGTGACGCATCCTTGTCCTAAAGAGGCAACTACTGAGATCCACTGGTCAGACTCGCTGACCTGGTTGTCATATGTAATCGTATCCCAATTGCGTAGATCGATGCTCATGCCAGTTGATCAATGGACTGTCGGGTCCAGACTCGACTATTTACAGACCGCCACCAAACACTGGAATATTGCTGAATATGGCGTTAAACAACGAACAAGACAAAGACAAATTTGACCAAACTTGTCAGCTCCAGCGCGATTGTCTGGCCATATAACTGTAATGTTGCTGAGTGAAAAAGAAAAGAAAAGAAACAAATCTGAAAACTTGTTGCCTGATATAAGCTTGGTGCTGGGATCCATAATAGAACCATAATTCCAACTTCGTTTCCATGACAAACAGACAGTTGAACACGTTGGGCCATTGCCGTGAGGGTTAACAAATAGTTCATTCGTAACTACTCGTCTCTTTCCGTGACCGCTATTTAGCTTGTCCCGCTTGGTCACGAATGCAAATAGTTCAGTCAGATAGTGCCAACCCGATCTATGCTAACAATGGTTAAACTGGTTCTGTTGTAGCCTGCTGGTGCCGCACCGACCTGGCTGGACAGGACCCCAGTGTTGGCAGTTGCCATCATTGTCATCCTGCTGCTTCTCATGGCCCTCCTGTTGCTGTTGTTCTGCTGCTGTTGCATCAAATCCTAGTGAGGGACAACTTCTCTTCTCCTTACAACAGCCATAGCATATCTAAAAACATAAAATGTCCACGGGAATGTTTCAAAAACAAGAATAAAGCGTCAGTACAATGAATGTACACAGAAATGTAAAATCACACCATTATTAAAAGACAGATAAAAAAGCCATATGGTGGACATATTCCAGTAAATATATGCAAGATATACAATTGATTGAATTTTATTTTGCAGTGAAAAGAAGCCGCTGGCACCAGGTAGATATTCTAATTCTTTTATTTCTTTTTTTTATATACTAGTATATAACCCAAGCAGAGTTAATGTTTGTAATATCTCTCGAAAAACTGACTCGGATTGTTTTTTTTAAACTGTCTCTTTAAGCTCAAAATGAAATATATATTCCAAAGGAGTTGAATTCACTGAGGAGATAATAATCAGTGTAAATGGTTTCTACTCTTGTTAAGATGCCGAAGTTTGGTAATGACCCGCTCTTCAGAGCCAAGTGCAGAAGAATGTGCAGCATTATTCTTGTAAGAACGTGCTAAACTGAATGACATGGGTCTCCAAATCGAAAAACATATCGCGCAATTGTTTTATGTAAATAATATAATATCAAAATCAAGCTTACCATTGCACTTTACTGTCTTGGTGGTTAAAAAAGGCTTTTACCATAACTTCACCTCGCTCATACCATGGTGCCACCCCTGCAAAGTAGGCCATTGTGTCCCCCACTTGTCTAAAGACATATATTCTCCAGATATTGTAGGGGATCTTGCAACTATAAATGTCATGGTTGGCCGTGGGAAATTGTTTAGGTATGAGCAATGACTGCTCGAGATAGCTGATGTCCATACGGTTCATTCACATTTGGTCTTCGAAACACTGCCATCCCCCAGTAACCACACATCATGGATACAATACCTCTTTGTATTTCTGTAATGATATGTTATTTTTTAATGCCTGCTCCAATAATTGGAGCGAGTGAGTGAGTATAGTTTTACGCCGCTTTTAGCAATATTCCAGATATATCACTGCGGGTAACAGCAGAAATGGGCTTCTCACATTGTATCCATGTGGGGCTTCGAACCCGAACGGTTTTAACCACAGGGCTACCCCATCGCCCCCTATTGTTGGAGAGCACATGTACTATGTATCAACTGGTAGATTATGTCTCAGTGTAACCCGCTAACATGGGTCGTCGCTTTCAGTCTGGTTCAGACTTGAGTATTGACTGGGAGCCGCGTTGTGCTTTAATGTTGCTGACTGCCAGACAAACACACCAACATTTCAAACATGTTCCTTTCAAGCAAAAGTGCGTTGATTCTATTTTCTGAAGTAAACCCTATCATTAATACTGTCATCTTTTTTTCAGCGACATATCTGATCCCCGAGAAGGTAAAACGAGAAATATTATCGTACATCTACTTGACATTTTATCAATTTTATGTCTTGTATTCAGAATACTAAGCATATCATATACATTGTTTTTCATAGAAACAAACATGTTATAATCCATCCATACACATTAAGATTGTCACCGCTTTATCTCAGTTGGTACTGACTGTCTTGATTCTCGAACCTGATCACCATTGGCGATACATATTTTATTGCTCGTGCTCGTAAAGCCATCAATACAATAGAGTGAGACTGATTCTGTAGTATTGTTGTGTATATGAATATGTAATATTATCAATAATATTATACACTTTAAAGGATTATTCGTATTTGTTTGTTTCAGGATGAAAAGAAAATTAATCCTGTGTACGATAACAGCATCTCCATAGTTGAAACGACTGATGCTAAAACGGTTATTCAAACAGAGGATATTTATGCAGTTGTTGACAAGACAAGGTCTGCCCATAAAATAACTGTCAGTCAAGACCCGTATCCATTTGTTGATGACGACAGTCCCGTCATCGAAACAGAGGTTGTTCGCGGACGTGCTATTGGATCGTCTGAGGTGACCATCCAGGTGGGCCCTGACGTCAACGATGGGCCTTTACCCGTCATTGAGGCTCTAATCAACGAAAAATCAGACAGTGTTGAATTTTCAGCAGCACTGGCATCTGAATCTCACACCTCTTCATCTCAGGTTGTACACGGAGGAGAAATTGATACATACTTTTTTACCTCTCAGCCGGAGGCAGATACAGAGTCTGGGTCTAAATACCCATATCCATCTGTTCAGCCAACCCTTGAACCTTTAGCAGAACACTCAGAACAAGAGGAATCCCAAGACGAGGAGACTGACTTCATTAATGTCGAGATGAATGGTGCACAGGATCGTGGCCAAAATGTCAGGATACATACTGACGCCTATACCCATGTTGAAGGAGCTGTTACCTATGAACGTGAAGAGATCCACGAGGTAGAAGTTGAGGGTGGGTACCCGGAAGGATCTGGACAAAGAGGTTCCTTGGCAAGCTCTGGAAGCGTTGGCACACCAGGTTTCTGGGCTGGTGGCGCCTATGAGATTGACATTCATGGTGAAGATTCAGACAGTGTCGTTGGCGCCTTTCCTTCAACTGGTGCCCCGACTTACGAGGTAGAGGTTGAAGATGACCAATCCACAGTTGATAAACGGGGTTCGAGAGGTGGAGTCAACTACGAGATTGAAATTCATGGCGGTCGACCAAAGAGTCCTGTAGATGTCGCTCCTTCAACCAGTGGCCCGACGTACGAGGTAGAGGTTGAAGATGACCAACCCACAGCTGATCACAGGGGTTCAAGAGGTGGAGTCAACTACGAGATTGAAATTCATGGTGGACGCCCAAAGAGTCCTGTAGATGTCGCTCCTGCGACCAGTGGCCCGACGTATGAGGTAGAGGTTGAAGATGATCAATCCACAGTTGACCAACGGGGACCTAGTGGGGGCGTCAACTACGAGATTGAAATTCATGGCGGACGACCAAAGAGTCCTGTAGATGTCGCTCCTTCAACCAGTGGCCCGACTTACGAGGTAGAGGTTGAAGATGACCAACCCTCAGTTGATCAAAGGGGTTCAGGAGGTGGTGTCAACTACGAGATTGAAATTCATGGCGGACGACCAAAGGGTCCTGTAGATGTCGCTCCTTCAACCAGTGGCCCGTACGAGGTGGAGGTTGAAGATGATCAATCCACAGTCGATCAAAGAGGAACCAACGGTGGTGTCAACTACGAGATTGAAATTCATGGCGGAAACGGTGATGTTCATATTGATCAAGCAGCCACTGGACACGATTACGAAGTTGAGTTCCAACCTAATTCTGCTGCAGCTTTTGGTGAAAGTTATTCCTCGAATACGGTTGGAGATGGAAGCTATTACGTTGAAATTCAGGATGGACATCCCGGCACTTCTGAAGATATTCTTCCTGCTACCAGTGCACCAATATATGATGTCGATATCCAAGGTGATTTCCCAATCATCTCCACAGAGTCTGATCGCAGTGCCTTGGTTCCTAGTACCGGTGACAGGAGCTATGGAGTAGATGTTCCTGGCGGAGGGGCAGTCGCGCCAACCGGACACGTCATCAGTGAAACTGAAAAGAGCATGCACAGCACCTCAGCAGCTCATAGTTCCCGTGTGATAAGTTCCTCTTCACCCCAACACGGTGGGAATGTAACTGTTGCCGAAACCCACAGCGGCTTCCACACAGCATCAGCTGAATCACGTACTCGGGTGCTCAGCTCTGGAGATGATGACGGAAACTATGCAAGACTTCGTGATGTTGATGACGGGAATATGGCACTGGAATTTACTGAAACGCAGAACGTACCCTCTCCTAGCTCCCCACACGACTATGTCTACCTGTTTGGGGATGATGTATAATTATGTATTGACATTGAAGATGCTCAACGGTTCCCAATTCTGCATCTGCACCTGGCAGGGTTTATTTCAAAACTCGAAATCGGATTTCAGGTTTTCCTGAAACTTGGATCACGGAAACGAAATGTGAATGCGACAGCCATTAACGTGAAACATGTGAAAACACTACACGTGGTGACAGTTATTTCTGAAAATGTAGAGATTTTGATGTCGAATGGACAGAGACAAGTATTATTTAGGTTTCACCACAGGCCTGTATGATCAGATCGTCAGGCAAATTCTGATACGAAACCAGTTTATTGCCATTTCTTACAGTTTTATGGCAGTTGTGGCCGATATATCATGCACATCTATAGCATGTATTTCTATTACTTTAGCCTTAGATAAACAACTTACATTTCTATGTATGCATCCATATGCATAGTTCATATATGTCCAGTTACATATCTATCTAGATATTTATAACGTGTATGTTGACTATGTTTACTAGACTACGACATTAATGATGTCGGTTCAGGTTTGGCTTAAAATATCATAATATCGTGGTCATATGTCTGTGAAAATACTACTGTTGAAAATAGATCCCGGCAGCATATTCATGGCATCGGTTAATAATTGTTTTAGTATCACATTGCGTTAATGTTTTACAATGATTAACCTTTAAAGGTAAACAAATAAATTTGATTCCTGAAGTTTTCAGTGCCAATGCGCTTTATATTTATTGGTTTACAGACGCGTCTCCAAACTGTGGAAAAAGAAATTTATCCATCGATGTTACTTTCAAGAAATAAGTTGCAGAAGTATTTTTTGTACATTTCGTTGTATTTCGATCGCTCGTCCTGTGATCTTAAAAATAAACAAAACGAAAGCCATTGACTAAGGCTATTGTACATACAACAAAGCAGATGTGCCACTGTGGGAGCCTTTTGTTGTTTTTGACTTGAACTAGCGTTGTTACTCTTGACATGGTCATAGGATGGCTTCTATTTCGCTTTGATTGTGTATTTAATGATCACATGTTTTCTGCATCGTTTATGTAGTAATATCATTACTGCCCGATATAGAAGAAAATAATATGTAACCGTCATTGCTTCGTGATTAAAACATCTATTTGCAGTCGTATTGATTGGTATCTTTTGATCACTTCAACGTATCGATTTACTTCCGTTGATGAATGGTATATTAAGTGTAAAAGTGACTACTCAATAAGGTAGGATTGTTAATAACTAAAACTCTAGCCTTGATTGCTCTATGAAATGAAAGCTACCCATAGACCCCATTCCGACATAACCATCTTTACTCCCAGTATCAGGTCAGCTGAATGATCACAAGACAGAACATCGGTAATGTCACATGATGGTCATGTATTATTAAAAAGATATTTGAAAGTTTGGTTCTGTTTTTTTGCTGACAATTACATCACGGAGTGGTATATGGAAAAACCATGACTGGAGATATAAAAAATAACCAATACTGAGAGACACATACATATATTTTAGTTAAGATTGAAGATTGACAGCGAGACTAAATACTCGGGGAAACAAGCCTTGGAAAGTGTTCCAAGCAGCCATACTTATCACAAAAAATCTGCTATTGGTGGTTACAGTGCGCTTCGACATGACCAAGTCTTAATCTGTCTCACTAAAACTACAAAGCAAAAATGTTTGTTGAACACATTTTCTTCAAAAGTAAGGATGGGGAGGATTATCTATTTTTATTGAAAACTGATGCGGAAGGAACACTTCTATATTCCCCGGACAATAATACCAACAAACATCTCATTTCATATTCAGCGATGCCATTTAATGCAATGTCAAGCATTTCAATCTATGTAACGAGAAAAAAATTGATAAGTTATTTTTATGAATTATTCTGAATTTAAAGTGAAGCCCCGACACCCGTGAAACGTGTCCCAAGAAACATAGCCATCTTCACTCAATCCATGCGTCTTGATGCACCTACACAGGCAAGCGTTCTGTGCCCATATAAATAAGTGTCGTCTAGTATGTTATGCATTTAGTTATGCATCACACATTTATTGCATGCCTTCTTCTTTCCCCGAGAACGGCGATACTTGCACATATAGAAAAGGGAAACGCTTTAAATATTTGTTTCGTCATTTTCTATATAAATGTAATATCATACATGTATAAATCCCTTCATTTAATCTACCCATAAGCATTATTTCATTTATAAGGAACGAAACCATCCCGAACAGAACCACCTTAGTCGTGTCAGGCCATTCTCTGTGTTGTCGCGTAATACTATCATATTTCCATACATTCCATAGTTGACGAGGCTCTGCCAAATTAAACAATCGTCTACACATGTATGGACTTGGCTATAGCTTGTGAAAGAAACATTTATTTTCCACCAGGGGCGGTGGGGTAGCCTAATGGTTAAAGCGTTGGCTCGTCACGCCGAAGACCCGGGTTCGAATCCCCACATGGGTACAATGTGTGAAGCCCATTTCTGGTGTCCCCCGCCGTGATGTTGCTGGAATATTGCTAAAAGCGGCGTAAAACCAAACTCAGTATTTTCCACCAGATAACTATGACAAATATTTCCTCACAATTTCAAAATAGAAAAAAAAATGTTATCAGTTGTTTAACCATCAGAACTGATTTCAAAGATAATGGCATAGTAAGCAACCAATTAATGACTGCAGTCTCTCAGTTACTAGTTTCGTGAATACTTCTCCAAGAATGGCAAGTTGAGATGTTCCTATTCAGTTGCCCAAGTTGCGTTGACACCCTATGGTATGAAGCGGACGTATAATTGCTTTCCATCGGGTGTCAGAAGAAGCGCCTAAGAAGGTGGTTAAAAATGAAACAAACAAGAGTGTATTAGTGAGTATGGTTTTACGCCGCTTTTAGCAATTTTCCTTCAATATTACGGCGGGGGACACCAGAAATGGGCTTCACATATTGCACCCAAATGGGGAATCGAACCCGGGTCTTCGGCGTGACGAGCCAACGCTTTAACCACTAGGCTGTCCCACCGCCCCAGAAACGCCTGATCACATAATCTTGTTTCACAACAATTTACTGACTGAGTTTGGTTTTACGCCGCTTTTAGCAATATTCCAGCAACATCACGGCGGGGGACACCAGAAATGGGCTTCACACATTGTACCCATGTGGGGAATCGAACCCGGGTCTTCGGCGTGACGAGCCAACGCTTTAACCATTAGGCTACCCCACCGCCCCACACAACAATTTAACAGACACGGGTTACATAGTTACGGTTACCCCTCTACTTTCAGAGGTTCGGGAATTTGTCAAACATGAAAGCAAATGTCATCTGAAGTTCACAGAAAAAGCAAAATGTGAAATTCCCCCAGGTACTTTCTCTATGAAAAATATAGCTGGAATATAAACTCTGTCAAAAAAGAAACGCAACCCCTGTATTTTAGAGATTTTGATCTGAAGTTTTAGGACGACACGGCATTTTTATTATTTAAGACAGAAGTCTGAAATTTGGCAGAATAATAACCCAGATGGGCATGTTTAAAATTGTCATTTCAAAAGTCATCTCACAGACACCAGTTTGTCACCAGGGGGGCGTCTGTCTCAGTATCTCGTATGAGCACCACGCGCTGCAATCACTGCACGGCATCTCCTTGGACAAGAACGGATAAGACGCCGGATTCTTTCCTGGGGAATGGCTCTCCACTCCTCCTGCAGTGCAACGGCGAGCTGTTGCAGCGTCTGTGGCGGCGGCTGACGTTGACGTACGCGTCGATCCAGAGTATCCCACAGGTGTTCAATAGGGTTGAGGTCTGGTGATTTAGAGGGTCATGGCAAGACATTGACGTTGGAATTCTGCAGAAAGTGCATTGTTGCACGTGCAGTATGAGGCCGGGCGTTGTCCCGTTGAAAAATCTGTGTCTGTTGGTCAATAATCGGGAGAAGGTGAAGCTCTAACACGTGGTTGATGTAACGTTGGGCTGTCAGGTTCCCTGGAACGATCACCAAGTCAGATTTCTGGTTGTATGAGATGGTTCCCCAAACCATGACGCTTTCTCCGCCAAATCTGTCCACCTGTCGGACGCAGATGGGCGCTAAACGTTTATGACGTCTCCTATACAGACGCTGTCTTCCGTCGTGACGTTGCAAAGAAAACGTGATTCATCAGAAAACCAGATTCGCCTCCAGTTTTGTAAAGTCCGTATCCTTACGTTGTTGCACCACCTGAGTCGTCGGCGTCGATGTAGGGGCGTAGCACAGGTCCAACAACTGGTCTACAGGCACGTAAACCCGCTTCTTTCAGACGGTTCCTAATCGTTTGAGCTGACACTCTCCTCAAACCTGGTATTTGTGTGGCAGTCACGGTTGGTAGGGCATGCCGATTACGCAGGTGATGGACCCGGATGTACCGATCTTGAAGGGGTCGTGATTCTTGGCCTTCCACTTCTCGGGCGATCGTTGGTCAAATTGAAGTTGTTGTAGCGGCTCCAAAGTCGGGATATCGTTGTTTTGTGAACATTTAGGTGCCGTGCAACAGTTCCAAAACTTTCTCCGGCTTGAACACGACCAATGGCGATATTTCGGTCGGCAGCACTCAATCGTGGCATTTTTAACACAGCTTTTCGGCGACAAATGAATGAATATAATACGGAAGCACATGGGCTTTTATACACCCCTACATTAACTGCCATTTTCATGATTTGCATGTGTTTTTTTGTGCGAAGTCACCATGAGGGTCATTTCATGCGTTGTGACGGAATAAGCAATAAAATACACTTATGCGTACAAATGCAGTTGTTTGGATGGTAATCTTCATTAATTACGTGTATCATTTCAATACATTCGAATAAAATTTAGTTTGGAAGCAATAACTTCATTCAAACGAATTTTTCATATCTGAGGACAGGGGTTGCGTTTCTTTTTTTGACAGAGTTTAGTTGAGTGCGGCGTTAAACAACAACAAAAATATTGTTGGCAGTCATGAACAGGTTGGTTACCTTCGCCTAAACCTCCACAATGAATTGTGCATTGTTATGAACTGCATGTACCTGTGTCACTTTCAATGTATACTTCATCAATATCTGTGACAGGTGGGGCGGTGGGGTAGTCTAATGGTTAAAGCGTTCACTTGTTACGCTTGCATGATATTGCTGGAATATTGCTTAAAACGGCATAAAACTCAACTCACTCACTCACTGTGACAGGTTTCATAACACATACAACTCACTGGCACTCACGTAGCGTGATGATCAATATGTTTTGGCTTCTTATTGTGCCCACAACTACTGTTTTTCATATAATTGAATAACAAAAGGGTACAATCAAGTTATACAAACGCAAACACAAACACTTAACATTTTATATGTACAGATCAATTTACTCCGACGTAAAACAAATAATGAGTAATAATGACACTTCAGTTGTTTCTTGGTATTAAAGTGAAGCGGTGTCCATCTCTGCAAAGTATTTATGAGGTGAAGGTATTGCAATGCGATTGGTAACTTTCACTATCTTATTGATTTCTCTGGATCTTTGTCTACGCTCTGACATTTTCCAGCTTGTTTTTAGACATTGAAATACAATACATCTTATCATACCTTTCCTTGACACTCGTCTGGAGAGCAAACTATCGAGACGTGAGCTGTTATTTGTTCTGATATTGTTTTATTGTCACAGGCGTATTATTTTCATCACATCCTCAGCGATTGATATGATGTGATCAGCAAGTGTTCCTTGCACACCGACTGACATATCTGCTGTGTCATTTGTTTTTATTGATTCAGATACCATAATACATGTTGTACAAAAACAGCAACACTAAATGCATAACACCAGGAATTCTGCTACGACTCTTTGGCTCGGTCTCCGGAGCAGTTTTGAGAGAATAACGTTGCTGCATTTTAGTAACATCCGAAACTATTATAGTGTCTTATTATGGAAACAAGAAAATGAATTATCATGGAACACCCCACCCCACCCCACCCCCACCCCACCCCCACCCACCCCCAAAAAAAGAAAGAAAGAAAGAAAAAAACCAAGAAGACATGGCCATCAATATCCCCCGCTACAGTGTTTTGTTCCTATTTGGTTCCTGTTTAACTCCATCACGACATTCATGTCCAGAAAACACATACCACATTTGGTTTCCCTATCTATAACGGTTTCTGAGAAAATCTGTCCCCTTTGGGGATACCGTGCACTTACTCAAGAAACGCACGACAAGGGTCATAACCCTGTAACAAATTGTAACACAGTTTCCGTTTTCTATGACGGTTTTTAGAAAATCTGTCTCCATCATCTCGGACGGACGGACGGACGGAAGGAGCTCAAACCAGTATCACCCTCCCACTTCGTGGCGGGGAATAATAATGATAATACGTGTAAATAAATAAGAAATGCCCTTTATCAGTCAGTCATAAGTGTTTACGTCCTAAGCGAGTGTAGGTTTACTTATATTAATTTGATCATTCATGACTAATTGTGAAATCTACACGATGATCTTACTTATGATAACAGATTGACTTGTGCATTAATTTAACTCTTTGCGACTTATGGTGAAATCAACAAAGTGATCTGATGTATATATTAACACGTTGACGTGTATGTTAATTTGATCCTTCATAGAAACGTTAAAGAGGTGTCACGTGTGTTTAAAGTAACCCACTCTTATTGCCGGTATTCTTCATGAGTTATTGTTGAAACAACAAAGTGATCTCATGTATGTTTACAGCCAGACATGTATATCAACTTTCACAGATTGACACCACAATAACGACTAATTGGCTACTATCTGTGACACATCTTTCATGGCTCTTTATGGAAACAGAAAGTGATCTGACGTATGTTTACGGATGACACAAATATTCATTATATCTTTCATGGCTCTTTATGGAAACCACACAATGATCTGTCATATGTTTATAGATTGACACGAATATTCATAAGGCTCTTTATGGAAACCAAACAATAGTCTGTCATATGTTTATAAATTGACACGAATATTCACTATATCCATCAAGGCTCTTTATGGAAACCAAACAATCATCTGGCATATGTTTATAGATTGACATGGATATTCATTACATCCTTCATGGCTCTTTATGGAAACCAAACAATAGTCTGTCATATGTTTATAAATTGACACGAATATTCATTACATCCTTCATGGCTCTTTATGGAAACCACACAATCATCTGGCATATGTTTATAGATTGACATGGATATTCATTACATCCTTCATGGCTCTTTATGGAAACCACACAATAGTCTGTCATATGTTTATGGATTGACACGAATATTCTTTATATCCATCAAGGCTCTTTATGGAAACCACACAATGATATGGCATATGTTTATAGATTGACACAAATATTCTTTATATCCATCAAGGCTTCTTATGGAAACCACACAATGTCAGGCATATGTTTATAGATTGACACAAATATTCATAAGGCTCTTTATGGAAACCACACAATAGTCTGTCATATGTTTATAAATTGACACGAATATTCACTATATCCATCAAGGCTCTTTATGGAAAAAAACAACAAAATGATCGGAAGTATGTTTATAGACTGACACGAAATTCATGATAGTCTTCATGGATATTCGTGGAAACATCAAAGATACATGACGTATGTTTACAGAATGAGACTCACTAACGTTATCGTTCAATACTAAGATTCGAAGTTTCGCCTTATCATAGAAAGGCTCCGAAATCGAAGAGAGCCAAACGCACCATCCGTTGTTTAGATCACCCATCAACATGAACTGTTGTGTTAAACATATATTCGTGAATTCACTTCACACCTACATTTCCCTAAGCCTTCTTTCCACATGATATATCGCTACAGCTATATTATCTTACCGAACCCTTCTTTCACAATGACATATCGCAATAAACATTCACAGCCGAAATCTGTGTCACAGAAATATCTCCCTGACAATTATGCCTGTTCTGTTTGTGGTATTCCTTTTTATCTCTTAGGTGAACAGCTGAGACAACAGAAAATTCCATTTGTAATGACATGTAGTTCAACAAAAACGTCCACTTTATGCTATGGTAGATGATGTGTGAACATTTACACAGCTGGTATCAATTCAACAACTTGATCAGGGAATGTAATATCAACTGGCGTAAAGAAAATGTACACACATTTCTTTTAAATTATTTAAAAAAAAGATTATAAATATTTAGAAATTTTTGTTCAAGCTATTATCGTTGGCTTTACGCAATTGATTTTGTTCGTTTGTGTATGTGTAAAAAAACATTGTAAGTGAGAATAGTGTGTTTACCTACATGTGCATACTTACACTGTGTAATATATTGAATGCATATATCATGGTTTTAGTTGTTTCTGATTTATCCATCCTCGATAATCTTCAGGGTATACGTTCCGATAAGTCTCCACTATACCCTGGATACATCTACGGTTCGGCCCAATAATTTTATTACCTCCCTTTGCATTCTCACAGTAGCCAATCAGATAAGCAGCCTTTACAACCGAGCTTGACAGTATCAACAAAGACAGCAGTCGCAGCCGCGAAAGTTTGTTCCCAGTGCGACTCAGGTTTGGGGGGAAAACATACAGACAAATTGACAGGTCCGAAACCTTAAAAAATATATCGGGAACTCCTTCTACCTCTTTCAGAGTACCTCTGCCAATATATTATTGTGTTGCCAAGTTTAATCGATTAGATAATTTAAAAAAGCGAAAGTGAGTTGTGATTGGTACGCTCAACTTCCCAGCGTAGACACCTGATTGGATAAAAAGCCAACCAAGGGAGATAATAAAATCATCGGGCCGAGCCGTAGATGCATCCAGGGTCAGGGGAGAAGACTGACTAAAACCATATATGTATATATATACACGCACAAAATGTCCAAAGTAGTACAGGTGTTCAGTCATAAATATTGCATAGATAAATTAAAACAGAATGCCGTTTTCTCCAACATGTTTCGTTCTTTACTCTTCAGGGGAGATTGTAGCGGTTACAGTATGACGTCATTACATATATATTGTGACGTCATAATAGGGACAACATTCTAGAGCGACAAGGTCACAGCTTGCAATGGTTTAACATTGGTTTGTACTTGTCTATGAAGTAGTGTTCTTTTAAAATTCGTTTTACTTTGTCCGAATTTTGAACTTGATAAAAAGGAAATATTGTAAATTTAACATCGTTTCCTTTCGCACAGACATCTAGATGTTCACTCAGTGGGATACATCGGGTTTCAGGACACTTTATTTGTTGTTTGTGGACACGAACCCGGGCTCTTAAATTTTCTGATTGACCAATATACTGTTCATTACAGCCTGTGCATGTTATGACATATATTATGTTTTTGCAAGAGCAGTCAAAATTCTGTTTTACATAGAATTCTCCGTGTCTCGTGAAAGTTACAGAGCGTCCTTCAACAATATGTCGACACATCATATATGTATATATATATGGTTTTAGTCAGTCTTCTTTTAATGGTACACAACTCCGGGTTCAGACAAGTCCTGAGTAAAGCTATGCACAACACATCCCAGGATAGGAATTATGTGTTCGGATTTTGTAGTTTTTATGATTAACCAAAAATAAAATATCAATGTAAATGCGAGTGCGTAGACAAGCATCCCCAAAAATCAATAAGAAAAAACAAAGAAAAAAGCTACACGCACACTTAGATCCAGCCATATAAAAACACACACAGAAGCAACCAAGCACGCACGCACACACACACATATGTACGTGAGTACATTAAAAGAAGAAAAGTTTCGTTTCATTTAAAACTCGTGAGGAAGGCTCGACTGTATGCATATGTGAAATCGTCTTGAATGTCACTTTAATTCCTTTCATCTTACACTATAGTGTTGTGGTGCTAGCTTTCACCGGTCATCGTGTAAATGCGATGAATCCAGTTATGTCTCCGAAAGGCTACTGTGTTCAACAATAACAGGACTGACGTACGTAGATAACAGTGATAAAGGCTTCCAGATGACAACTAATGTGTTTCTAATCAATAAATGATAAGATTATTGAAGTGATTGGTCAGTGTGTTTGATCATGAACCAGGACGGCAAGAGGAGAAGCAGGTGAATTAGAGACAATTATCTGATAACATGGTTCGATGACCAGTGAGAATATAAAGGTTATAGTACTAACTACCACTCTAGAAGGGTCCTGCTATTCCAGTCGATCGAAGTATTGTTCAAGAGAAAATGGTCTGACAGGATCCAATTTGTAGAAGAACTTGTGAACACGAAGGATCGGAGAGAAATTTGTGCATATCAGCTGTTAGTTTGCCTTGGATGTGTGTATTCGTACGAACGTGCTGCAACGTTCTGAAATCTGACATCAGACTACAAGTGTTCTGACTCGATGGAATATATCCCGTGGGGTGACAACCTGTCCATAGTGAACTCCAGCTATATGATGACAATGACCATAGCACCATATAAGGGCATGAGTTGCACTGCCATGTTCATGCTGACTCTCTTTACACTGTTAGGGTGCTTAGTCTGCATTGGCAATCTCCTCACCGTGGTAGCTGTGTTTCGGACTGAGGAGCTCCGGACCACGCCTAACATGTACATCGTGTCTTTAGCATGTAGTGACTTCCTTCTTGGGCTCACAGTGCCTTTCTTTGTATCCTCCAATGTCCCAAACATGGAGGATCTGTTAGACAGGTCGTTGTTCCACTGTGCATTTCGATATGGCGTTCTGTATCTAATTCTGTCGGAGTCTTTCCTCTGCATCTGTGCTATATCCGTGGACAGGTACGTCTACATCAAACACCCTCTCCATTACCACATCTACCTCAGTCCTAAGAAAACTGGCCTCGTCATCGCGTCTACGTGGTGTGTGTCCCTAATGGTGGGCGCTTGTACTCTGCTGACGTCGACCTGGCCTGGCTATTGCAGTTTCTTCCACGTGGTGTCCAAATCATTTCAGCTGTACTTCATCATGCCCTATACAGCCGCCATCTTTGTGTTGAACGCAGTAATGTACAGCCTCATCACAAAGGAAGCTATTCAACATCGTCAACGAATTCAAGTACGGAATTCACCCATCAACACAACAATACGCTGCAAAGCAACATTACGCTCGATCAGACATTTCATCATGGTATATGGGACGTTTGTCGTGTGCTGGTTGCCGGCCGCAGTGGTCAACATTCTTGGTCACACGTACGGAGTGGGCACTACAACTACAGGCATAACACTATCTCTTGGATTATTGAACTCTGGTGTGAACTTTATAATCTACGCCTTCATGAACAAGGCTTTCAAGAAGGCTTTCTTAAAACTATTCCTGGCATTGCACGTGTTCTGTTGTCGAATGTGTAGATGATGTAAATGTTAGTCAGTCACGTGTCCTCATCATGAACATTATGCAATCACAATATGAAGTTTCTTCGAAAGAAAAAGACAATTTCCTTTTAGTTTGACACCGATGATATGATAGTAACTGCACTATGATTAAATTAGTTTGGCATATTAGTGAAATTTAGCAAAAGGTTAGACTATATTGGAAACAGAACTTTTGATACGCTCAGTCCTGGATACTCGGCATATGAGGTACACATGAACTGTTATACAGTATACATAAGATGGTTCGATGGTGTAACATATTACAGCTTGCATAATGACATTAAAGAATGTACGAAAAGTTTTTTTTAGAAACACTTATTTGTTTTCAATTTAGCAGTTCTTATAAATTTAACACTATGGGGTCTTTAACGAAGGGATTTGGGATATGTGTTTTCCGATGATATCTAAAATGCGACAAAGAACGTGATGAAATTCATCACCAACATCTCACATGTCACAGAGTTTACATATTCTTTCGTTTTTGGGAATTTTGTGCCACTATCAAATTCTATGGATTTAACAGCCAAAGAGAACAGAATATATGTTAAAAGGACAAGTTCAGTTTTGAATAAGAGATCTTTAGAAGAACTGGAAATCTCTGCACGCCATGTGTGGGTTGTTATATCATGTAATCTTTAGGAAAGAATAGGTTTAGGTACATTGGGAGAGACAACTTGTTGACTTCACCAGGAAAAACATCAGCCAGTTTGATTAAAATTCCTCCTTTATATTTTATCCAATTTTTAATGTAACAGCTTCTGTTCTTTGCCAGAAAAGAGTTACGCCCAAAGGCATGTCATATACCATTTGACAGAGTTAATTTTTCTTACTCTTCTAAGGTCTCCATGTGACATGAATAATATCGTATGTCAAATTTGAGTAAAAGGCTAACAAATACAATCACTCCTACCACTCTCATCAAAACCCCATATTTCACAGCCATATAATAAACTACCGGACAAAAGAACGTTATCACCGACTTCACTTGACCAAAAATAAAAACAAAGACATATGTGAGATCAATAAATTATTTTACAAGCAAAACTCATGTTCCAATAGTTTCATTGAAAATTCATTGTAATGCTGGTCTTGCATTTCATTAAGAAAGCGTCAAGGGGTAAAATGAGAAATTACACATAAACTGCATAAAGAGTCACTTAATGAGACAGGAGTCAAGGGACACGTCATCAATAGCGAGGGTGACCACCCTGGGCATTCATACACGCCAACAAACGTCGCCTCATTGACGTCGTCAGTCGGCGGATGACGTCAGCAGGAATCCTGTTCAATAAGTCCAAGAGAGTCTTTCAACTTCCTGTCGGTTTGCTGGAGGAGGATGTCTCTGCTGACGGTCAAGATGATCACAGAGATGTTTAATGGGGTTCATGTCTGGAGAACGCGTTGTCCAAGGCAATACGTTGACGTTAACGTTGTTTAGGTAATCTTGAACAATTCTGGCGGTGTGAGGCCTTGCGTTGTGGTGCTGCAAAATGACTCTTCTTGGCTGTTGTGGAATTAAAGGTAACTACAAAAGGCCTGAAGACTTCATCCCTGTATCACATTAGGATTTCCTCGGATGATAACCAGTCTAGTTGTTTTCTGGACAAATGCCGCCCCATACCATGACATCTCCTCCATCGAAGGGATGAACTTCTTGAACGCAGTTTGTCGCCATTCGCTGTCTTCTACGTCGAGAGACTCAGATCTGTCAACGTTTCTGAACCGACTGAACCGACTTTCATCTGTAAAGAGCACTCTCCGGATCCCAGTCACGTCACCGCCACCGACGTACAGTTCGTTCCAATTGCAGTCTGCGTTGACGGTGTAGGTGGGCTAAGACCATTCCACGGAAGGGGCCGTATACGTAGGTTAGTATACCAGCCGTACCAGGTCGTCGAAGGATTGTTCGTCTGCTGACGATGTGTCCTAGTGCTGTCCCCGCCGTTGGCGTCGCCGTCATGAATCTGTTCCGGAGGTTGATCTGCCGTATGTAGCAGTCTTCGGCCGGTGTCGTGATTCTTGGCTTTTCCGATTTGGGCGATCTTTGGTTTGGCCTGTCTGCTGGTAGCGGTTTATCAATTTGTTGACGGAAGTCTGGCTGCAATTGAAGGTTTTTGCCAGCTGACGTTGTGAAGCTCCCATAATGGCCACACCGATCGCCCTGTCTCGTTGCGCTTGCGTAAATTTTTCACGTTTGGAAAAATACACGATTCGTGCGAAGTTTCATACAGCTGAGTTGTTATCGGGACCATGTTGGGCGGATGTTTTCTGCTTGGGTTCAAACCTGTACCAGCCCTTTTTTTTTTTTTTATTAAATTACTTTAAAAGTGATAACTTTCTTTTGCCCGGTAGTTTAGAAACGAGAGAACATTGTCAAGCAAGAGCAGTTAAAAAAGAAGGTATTACTTTATTTGTACTATTTATATTATCATTACGCAATGTTCGGTGATGTTTTAAAAATAGTTTGTGATGATCTAGAAATATTACTTCTTGTCACACCGATAACAAGATGGATAGATAATAATCAACAACGGAATTCTCTTGAACTGCAAAACACACTTCTCTTGCCATGATACATTTTCACGTATAGCCTTTCAAAATAATTCAACAGTTAATGCCTGGATAAGTCATAGACCATTCCCACGTCACTGAATCTGATTACATAGATTCCGAAGCAAGTCTTTGAATGGCATTTAGAAGTGAAATGCATGTATATAAGGAAGAGAGTTCTTTTACGGATGTTAACGTTTCGGGGTATATCCTTACTTCTTCAAATTCATCAGGTGAATGAACAGAGGTATAGATAAATGAATTTCATAGCGTATACAGAAAAGTGCAATTATTTATTTTGAAATCTGGGTAAATTGAGCAGAATGTTACAGTTTCACTGTTCAAAGTGTTGTATTTTCTAAACATCCGCTCTGACAAGCGAGGGCTTGACGACCTGATATCTGGCTTAGATAGAGGCAATGTCGGTATGCTGGTTCTACTCGACGTAAGTGCCGCATTAGACACAATACACCACCAATTGCTACTGCAAAGGCTTAGAGATAAAAATATTCTTCTATGGAAGTGCCTGCTCCTATCTCGCAAAAAAGCATCAGTATGTTCTAGTTGATGAAGCCTCATCTGCAATAGCTCATCTCAGGTATGGAGTCCCTCAGGGTTCCGTGTTAGGACCTATCCTTTTCATCATGTACATTAAGGAACTGGGATCAGTAATAGACAAGTCCTCTGTCGGCAGACAGCAGTATGTAGATGACACACAGCTGAATAAGGTTTTCTCTCCCAATGCTACAGATGCTCACGATGCAGTTTCACAGGTAGCTGGCTGCTGTGATGGTATAAAAGTTTGGAAGTTTCATAACAGGGTGATGCTGAATGGCTCTCATGTCAACAAATCTTACCAAAACCTGCTTTCTTGTCTTAAGGAATACTGGTAAACTCTACTGCCATATTGGTCCTGTCGCTACATTGTCACGGCTTGACCACTGTAATGCCCTACTGTTTGGAGCAACTAAACAGTAGCGTAACAAATTGCAACGAGTTCAAAATAACGCAACAAGGATAGTTACACTGACTAAGAAATCAGAGCACATCACTCCTGTTCTCCACAGCCTTCACTGACTCCCTGTGGAACACCGTATCACCTACACGCTCCTTTGTCTTGTCTTCCAGTTTCTGTCCGGTCAGGCTCCTCCCTACATATCTGATCTGATTAAAGCCTACACACCAGCACACCAGCAACACCTCTCTATGGGGAGATAACATTTGCATATTCAGCCACGAAAGCCTGGAACTCCCTGCCCAAGTACCTCAAAGACAGTGAATCAATGTCATCGTTTAAGACCCAACTCAAAACCTTCTTGTTCAGACTTGCCTTCTCTGTGTAACTTCCGTCATCCCCTTTCGGACATCTGCGCGTAGAGCATGTACTGTGCATGGATTCAGCGCGTTACAAATGGACTATTATTATTATGTCGTGCTCATGCCGTATGGATGTCGGGGGAGACGAGGCTCGTTATGCCGATGGTACGGACGAGATTCCCCACATAGGTACAGTGAATGAAACCCATTTCTGGTGTCTGCCACCGTCATGCTACCTTTAACCTAACCGAAAGCCGCGCAAAGCACAGCTCATATACTCGCTATTATAGACCCTTCACCTGCTCAGGTCAGGGTGGTGGGGTGGCCGTGTGGTTAAAGCGTTCACTCGTCATGCCGAAGATCCGGGTACGATTCCCTACATGGGTACAATGTATGAAGCCTATTTCTGGTGTCCCCCGCCGTGATATGGATGGAGTATTGCTGAAAGTAACGTACATTCAAACTTACTCACCTACTCATGTCTTTGAATGGCAATTATAGTTTGGCATGAAATGCATGTGGACCTGTTTTTTTTTGTAAATATCTCCTCATCCAATGACCCAATCGATCCCAAACTGTGCAAGTGGATGTTTTGTCAGACAACCTAATCACATTGTAAATCACCGATTTTATGCATTTGTATTAAAGAATCTGTTTATGTAACTGTCAACAAAATAAACAGCAGAACGCAGACTGCTGGCAGAGGGAGGGAGCCAATGACCTGTTACAGCGGCAGTGTTGGGTCATAAAGGTAAATGCAAGTGCAGTTCATGATAGTTACATGTGCACTGCACAGTGATAGACCGTTTGGATCATTCACATTGACTACTTCTAGCTGTCATCATGAAAGTTTATTCAGATGATGCTAAACGTTTAATTAGAAATGTGTTGAATTTTTTTAATAAAAGAGAGCAATCGTAGCAAACCGATTTATAAGGTGTCGGATTACATGAAACGTACAACTTTTGCTTTTGGCATGAAAAAGAACATCGTGCTAAATTGTGAAAAATAAACCAACAACCAATAAACAAAACCCTGTACAAAAAGGTAGGCATCCAAAGTTAGATTCTTTTGACATCAGGGTCATCAGAGATGTCATTCGCCGGCTATTTG